CGCCGCCCCACCACCCTTCTAAAGCTGAAAGACAAGGGGCTGCTTCAGGTAAACAGCACCACAGGCAATATTCTCAGATGCTCACTGATGGTACCAGCACCAGCCCAGAAACTATCCCCACCAACCTCTCGAAACACAAAGGGCGACATCAAAGTAGTCATGGCCCCTCCAGACACTTTCATACTAAGCAGGAGAAGGGATCACCGCCACCTTTGCGAGCCGCAGGGCTGGAGTCAGAGTCTCAGTCGAGTAAATCATCCACCGGTGCTAGTTCAGAGAAAAGTGACAGACCCAAACACATGGGACACAGAAGGCAGTCCAAACCACACAGGGTGAGTTCATCACAAGACCAAAAAAGCAATTCTTTGTTTCCCAAAGTTTGGCTTTTTTTTTTTCATGTTTAACATAATGTTTGGTTTAAAATAGGGCCAGAAGCTTAAAATGTTTTTAGAAAACATTAAAATAAATAAATAAATACATAAAAATATTTAATGTACTGTTTTGTATTCCAATCATTTTATATGAGGTTTGGAATTATTGCAACCCTGTTTGAGATTTGAATTGATTGTGAAATTGATAGATGTTTTATTTAGCAATAAACATTTGATAAACACCAAAGTCAAAATCTATGATTAAAAAAAATATGAAAAACAATTTATTTATACAATTTATACAATTAAAAATCAATACAAAAATGAAAAATAAAGCTAATCAGCATGAACTACTTAACCAAATTGTTTTTTTTTTGTAATTATTGATAAATTTAAACAACCATTAAAAATTTCAAAGTCGACAAGATTTTTTTGAAAAGAAATTAATTGCATTAAATTGATCAAAAGTGACAGTAAAGATGTTTTTACAAAATATTCTACTTTAAATAAATGCTGTTATTTTGAACATTTTCTTCTTCAAAGAATCTTTTATTTCCACAAAAATATTAAGCAACGCAACATGTTTTAATAATAAGAAATGTTTCTTGAGCACCAAATCAGCAAATTGGAATGATTTCTGAATAACATTTGAGCAGTAGTGTAATTTATTCCATAAATTAAACAAACATATTTGTTTGACCATTTTCCCCCCTCACAAACACTTGGGTAACAGAAGTGAATGGTTGATACTGAAGAATGCACTCAACATCTGATTCTCTCTAGTAAGTTGTAATAAATATATGTGTTATTCTAGCACAGAGCAGAAAGATAAAAAATGAAGGGATAATTAAAATAAAAGTGATAGAAATGGTTTAACCTCTAATGCTGGAAGCACGAGGGATACCCTTCAATGTGTATTGTGTCCATATCTGTTGATTAAAACAATTGAACCAGATGAGTCATCAATCAATGGTCTTCCCTGGAACATATCACTTCAAAAATCAATTTTCTATTTTCTGTTCTGTTCTGTCCTCTATTCACTGTTTCACCCCCTCTCTCTTCTCTCTTGCCCCTAGGATTCATCTGGTTCCGTGGACAGAGTTCAGTAAGTGTTTTCCCCCCTTTTTCTGATTGGTTATTTCAAACTATTGATTTTGCTCTTATTCCAGAGCTTTCCTCCATTATACTCTGCTTGGTTTCCTAAACTCTGCCATCCAGCCTGAGCTACATCGATTGCTTCTATTTTCATCTGTCTCTGTTCATCTGTCCAGTACACAGTCAGAGCAGAGTCATGATATTTTTCTTTGCGAATGATTTATGATACTGAGTTCCACAGCAGTTTACCTCCTGACAAAGACAGATAAACACACTGATCTGTAATATATTGCAGGATGCTGGAGGAGTACAACAAAGAGCTACATGAGAACCTGTTGCAGACGGTGGCATGCATTGAGAACATGGAGGCAGAATTGCAGTGTACCAAGACAGAGTTAGTCAGCTTCAAAGAGAAATACAGAAGGTCAGCATTGAAACTCCATACATACTACTGTGAAAAACAAACGTTTTTAGTTCATGAAATGATAGCACCCATCTCTCATTCTCTGTTATGTATCATTTGCAGGCTTCAGGAAAGCTATTCTGTTTCTCAGCAGGCAAACAGTGTCTTGGAGCAGAAACTCAAATCTGTGGTAAGATTAACACAAGTGTAGGAGGCACTTTCCACAAAAGACAAAGATTTTTTTTTTTTCTTAAACATAAAGTGCATACCTGTCAAATATGATGGTACTCTTGTCAGGCCTTATGGCTTACCGATTAAAGCACCTGCTTGGCCTTGAGCTGGCCTCTTTGAAAATGCAAATTCACATCAGCTGAAATTTCTGTAGTGCTATCTATCATCACTGATAATACATCTAAGCAATATTTTTTTAACCTTATTCTGACAGGTAGACAGCTTGGACTCAGAGAGGAAGTTCCTCATGCAGAGAGTCGCAGATCTGACTAAACAGCTGGATACTGCTCAGAAGACCATCAGCTCTTTGGAAAACATCAATGTAAGTGCACCCGCAGACGGATACAGCAAACAGATGCCCCCCTTGTCTTCTATTTTTTGCACAAACTAGTCAATTCCCCACTAAACAGCTCATATGTACGTCTATAATGTTATACATATTATTAACCTATGATATTTTATTGTAGTATAGTAGATGTTTTACCAGTGCGGCTTGCTTTTTAGAGGGCTCTTCTGCTTTTGATATCACAGCGCAGGATAGTTGCCAGCCAATCAGCATTGTCATGACATAATTTCTGCCCTGAGCGAAGAGGGGGCAATATATAAACTTCAATATATAAAAATTAAAATTCAACAATGCTTATGCTATAGCTAGCCAGCAGGTTTATTTACAGTTGTGTCTGCATAGTTGTTTAAACATTAAAAAAAAAGAAAACACAATTCACCTGTTGAAAAAAAAACAAAATGTTAAAGGTTAACATCTTTCTCTCTTTAGGTTCCCTCATTCATTATAGAGTTGTTGAAAAATCACTTTGACTCTCAGGAAGCACTGGAGCACTTCTTATGTCCTCAAACATCTCCACGGCAACCTGATTTTGACCAATCAGAGAGGGCACAGGAGGTCACAAACAACCAACCATCTGGTGGAAAAGAGGACGTTTTTGAATGGCCACAGACTGGACACACATGTTCAGGTGCCAGACAACAGCCTGCCACAGCCTTTCTGCCATGGAAACATGATCATGTTCCATGGGCAGGGCCAGGGCAACTCTTGGCTAAAGGAAGTGACTCACAACTTCCTTTTTCTTTTGGTGATGATGTGCCAATCCACAAAACAAAGGCAGATACAAAGGCCCCAAGTCATCAAGTGCATCAATTAGCCATGAACACAGATATCTACTTAATTCCCCCAAACCCATATAATTTAGATGAGATGAGGTTCAGCAGAAAGACAGGTGGAGAGGGAACCATCACTGTGGGGAAAGAGCCCACTGATGTCAGCTGTCTTACAGCTCATAGGATGCTGAATGAGTTTTTAAACCAGATTCCTCCTCCAGCGCATGATGGTGAAGGGAAAGATAGTTTAGAAGCAGAACTAACAGAAGGAAAGCAGTAACATTTAATTTTACATCTTTTTGGTAAACTGAACTGGATAAAAACCTCAATAACGTCTCCCATTACCAATATTGCAGCAAGGATGCAGCTAACTGTGGCTCTGATGGGGTTGCCTGCGGCCTCGTGCCTCTGGCCTAATCACAGCCATGCTGATATAGAGCCGGTATCGCTCTCGTACTCGAGTGATATTGCTCATGTATATACCATCTGGTTTTGTGCTATATCCATTAAAACTTTTAGTTTTCTGGTTTCCTGTTTTCATTTGTAGTTCAGTGCATTTGCAAAAGGCATCCTCCATATTAGTGTTTTTGTACATGTTTGCACTTTTTGCCCTGCATATTGTGAAATATTTAAGGTTAGCAATAAAATAATATAATTCAATATTCATATTATTTTATTGCTAACCAAAATTACTGTCAATTTGTTTTGGAAAAGTATGGCACTTTCTTCTGTCTTCGAGTGCTCGATGTCTGCCTGTATAAAATTACAAATTAAACTGGAGAGTGAATAGCACTTCTGTGAAATGTGTCAATGAACTGAGACAATGTTCATGTGGTTATTTATTGTATAAATTAAGGAATTAGGGAAGTTTGAATTCTTGTTTTTGCGAAATCTATATGTGTAACTATATGTATAGAATACAAGTTATAGTTTTGCTAGAAATCAAATAAGCCATATAGCCATATATATTTATTATAGAATATCCTTGTATTTTTATTCTAAATGTATTAATAAAGTCTTGTGTGCAAGTTTGCTCTACATTTGAGAATGGTTAATATCTCTCTTAGGGGTGTCTTTATATCCATATAAAACACAGTGGGACATCCAATTATCATACAATTACTTCAACTGATTTCAAGTTAAAATTAAACAAACATCACATGCTCAGTATATCATAAGACAATTAATACTGCTTTGTTATATTTCACACGACCCATTCCTGGTTATATATTATACAGCATCTATATTCTGCATAGCCACAGTGGATTAAGAGGTCCACGGTGTCATGTCATATCATATCATATCATATCATATCATATCATATCATATATCATATATCATATATCATATATCATATCATATCATATCATATATCATATCATATATATCCTAAAATTTTGAAATATATAAAATGTGTTGGCAATTTTGCTACTATATTTTTAATATCTGGGGCATTTTTATCACTGTTAGTGTGTTTTTGCCCTGAACCGTGTCCTCATTTATGAGTCTTCATTTATTTCTGACCCTGCCTTATACACTGAGGCTCATGCACAGTGTTAAAATGCTTCATATTCTGTTATGCCTGTTTTCTTCTCCATTCTTTTCATGGTTTCTCAGTCCATTAAATGGCACACTTTGCATCAAACCCCTCCTTCTGGCACTCGTCTGGACTTGTTGACCAAGGGCAGGTTTGCTTAGAGGACACTGGCCTGGATTCCCATTGGTGAAATTGATCTAATAGGATCAGACATGACAGGAGATTATGACACTCAAGACATAATACTCTATATCATATTTTTAAGACCTAGTCAAAATGGCTGCCAAACTGTAGGAGGCATATTGAAGGCTCAGGGTCTGAAAGAAAGGGCACTCAAACATTCTTGAAGGTAATGAATCATTTTTCTTCTACTAAAATCAGATGATCTTGGGGACAACCTAAAATGTCATTTTAATTTAACATCAAAACCATGTTTTGTCCCACGCCCTTGTATTAGTTATATTGAAAGTATTTTGAAGGTGATTTCCGAGTGATACTGGATTGCACAACATTATTGTTGTTAGAACTAACAGAACCTGATGAAACTATGGGAATTTACCTGAGAATGACTGATTATTTGCTGTGCTGGATACTGATACTGCATGACCTCTATTAAATTCCTCTTCTGCAATCTAAACTTCTCTCTCTCCTCTATCCTACACTTCTTCTTAAGCAGCATGGTGTTGTTAAAAATAAAGTTCCCCTTCCAAAAGAGGGTGCGTCTGGCCCAGGGTCTCTGGCTGCTTTCATGGGTGGCCATGTTCTCTGGAGCCATCACCTTTGCTATAGGGGTCTTCCTCAAAACTGAGCTACATCGCAGATCAGAGGTAATGAAACTTTTCTTAATTAAAAAGCACATGAAAGTAAAGAATGTGATGTACTAATGCTTCCCTAGATACATGCTTGTTTGCCAAAAACATAAATGGAAACATAATGAATTGCAGTGAGCAGTGTGTCTGCCATTATTGTCCATTAGGATCTATAAAATATGTGAAAGGATAAACAGAATCAGAAATGCATTGCATAACAGTCATGCTTAACAGTTTTTAGAAATGCTCTGTGTTTTGTACAGTAAACAAATGTTTTACTAAGTAATATTTACTTAATGGTTTGCAGATATTATTTACTGGACACAATGAATAAATTACTACTATATTTACTATACTATAACAAGTACTACTTTCATTTACCCTTTATATTGTCAACACCAGTGTAAAAGGCCTAAGCTTTGTCTTGATGCGAGGAATAATCTCACATAATCTGAGGACTGGCACTCAGATAATGTCCTGTAGTGTGTACCACCTGAGCTTGTATCTAAAATGAAGTCAATAAACCTCACAAGGAAACCTGATAATGACTAAAAAGAGCATTGTGGGAAGAAATGAAGGATAAAAAAGTCACACAATGCTTCTGTTCAACAGGTGCAGGATAATTATAAGATCTACAGTATATAATACAACAATAGCTAACCTAAAACTTTCGGTCATGTCTGTAGGCTATAAGCAGATGCAGGAAGAATTGAAGTTGCTTAATGGTTAGCTCAGAGAGTAGAGTACGGTGCTAGCAACACTATGGGTTTGATTCCCAGGGAAAGCAAGAACTGTTCAAATGTAAATGTGTACCATGCAATGTATGTCACTTTGGATAAAAGTATGCCAAATGCATAAATGAAATGTTAACAGTAAGAGAACCTTTTTTCTTATACTGGATTAATTTACGATTCAAAGAAAGTAAACATTAGTCTGGGCCTGATTAAATGCCTGTAAAAAAGAAAGAAAAAAAAAACAGGAGAAAAAACAAATATTCAACCCTTCTTACTCTATATAGGTAATGCACAGTATGGACATCCACATTGTGCCAAATCTGCTGATGGCAGTGGGGTTAGCATCAGTGGGCATCAACATCTGTGCTGGTAAAGTCTGCCAGGACTCACTGGACACCTCCCGTTTCCCACGCTGGAAGACATTTCTTCCTCCGTTCTTCTGCTTCTCTGTCTTCATCACCTCCCTGCTGCTGGTGGCCATGATTCTGAGCTTTGCCCTGCAGCCCAGCCTGGAGGAGTCTCTGAAGATTGGGCTGAAGAACGGCATCCAATTCTACAAGGTTGGTGAGAGAAAGACAAAAAGAGCAAAGTGGGGCAGAAAAATTATTTAACAGCAATCAGCTGTCAGTTGAACTTAATTTAGTAATTTAGGCAAAGCACGTACATATGCATATATAGATACATACATACACACACATACTATAGAATTATATATATATATATACACACACACAGTATATAGGTTAGTTAAATTTTTTTATTACTTCAAAAATTTAGCTGTGATTCACATTTAAAATTCAGAAATTTCTTGTTTGTTATTTTATTTTACAAGTGGAGGACATATTTTGCACATTTCCTGAGTGAAATAAAATAACAAGAAATTTCTGAATTTCAAATGCAAATCACTTTTTGCAAATTGTTGAAATACTATATATATATATTTTTTATATATTGTAAGAAAAAATGATGAAGACGATGAAGATCTCGATGAAGATGTTTATTGCAGCATAGCAGTGACAAAGTACATGTAGTACCTTGGGTTCAACGGAGTCAGAATGAACCACGAACATCCTAAGCTCAAACATTTTATACTCTATTACGTTCATCTTCCCGCTTCATATTGAAAGAATTATCTCTATGATAATTAAGCTCTTTGTAGAGAAAGGAGAATAGTTTAATTGGAGTGGAAGTTTGGTCGAGGCAGACTATACTTTCTTACAATATATATATATATATATATATATATATTTATATATTATACATTTGTATTCTAGACAATACTTAACTCAAACAAATATTTCCAAAGGCAGGACAGCATAATGCACTAAAGTAAAAAAAAAAAGAATAGAAAGAATTTGATATTGAATTGAATTGCAGGATTTCAAGTCATACATATTTCTCTTAATGAACTTTTAAGTAGGTATCTGATGTTCCATATCTCTGCAGGATACAGACACACCAGGCCGTTGCTTCCAGAAGGAGATTATTGATCGTTTACAGATTGAGTTCCAGTGCTGTGGTAATACTAACTACAGGGACTGGTTTGAGGTGCAGTGGATCAGCAGCCGCTACCTGGACTTCACATCCAAAGAAGTGAAAGAGTGAGTCCAAAAATCATAGATAAACTCACACTCCTGCACTCTCTCCTGAATGAAGGCCAGTGTTTTTTTTCCATAAGGGAATTAATCAAAGGTCTCAGTGGTTAGTCAACACACTGCAAGTTTTTTTAAATAAGTAAAACATTCCAAAATACTTTCTTTTGGAGCTTCCAAGGTGAAGCAGAATTTAAAATGTCATGTTCTGAAACAGGATGTCATCACCAAATGAGCATGATGGATTGATCAGAAAGTCAATACAGACAGTTGCAGAATCAATGGTGTAACAAAACTAGGAATATTATTCTCATAACTGCATTATATATAGTCTTATGTTTCTGTCCATTCCATTTTGCCGACACAGTCGTGTGAGGAGTAACGTAGACGGCCGATATCTGTTGGATGGGGTCCCATTCAGCTGCTGTAACCCTGCCTCCCCCCGGCCCTGCATCCAGTACAGTCTCCTGGACAACTCTGCCCATTACAACTACGAGTACCAGACTGAAGAGCTGAACCTGTATAACCAAGGTTGCCGCCAGGCCCTTGTCAGCTACTACATGGGTTTAATGAACACCATCGGCCCTTGTGTTCTATTTGATTTCCTTCTCCAGGTATGAGCTGATTAATGGCTTTAATGACTAGTAAGCAACAGCTTAAAAATGTATGTTGTAATTTATGTTGAACAACAATGCATGACATGCTCTTCAAATTTAGATACCTACAGAACTTATTTTACTCATAAAGTGCAAAACACATGGCAACTTAGCCTACAAACTGATATAAAAGAACAGCTCTGTTGGATGATCTTACAGATGAAGTGTGTAATTTATGCAATGTTTAGTCACCTAATGGAATACAGTATTCCTACAAAATAATGTTTTTAAAAAGGTATAAATAGACAAATAGAAAAATGATTACATGCATATCCTTTAAGATTGAGGTACTAAATATTACAGTAAATGAACAATCCAACATTAAAACATGTTTACATTACATATGTTTTTTAGGCTTAATATGTGTCAGCTGCCTCAGAGGATCATCATGAATGTTTTGTGAGGACTCCCCCAAATAACCACATGATTTTAAACCTTGAATAACACATTGTATAATCTAATGTGCTCAATACATTGAACTGTTCACATACTCATCACTCAGTTAATATCGACATGCTTCCGGAATGGCTGGCAGTATGGTTGTGAACTCAAAGGTGTCAATATTCATTATTTGAGCATTAACATAACTTTCACCCAAAACCACATCACGCTCTCAGCTTTTATAACAGTCACAGCTTTTGTAACACTAACTGCATGATTAATTGCATCTCATATACTAATTCAATAGACAACAAATCAATGCTGCCAGAACCAGGAAATAAAACTAGATTTGTGTTGCTATCTACAAAGTGTGATATTTAATGTGGCATACTATCAGTTGTTACTTCACAAATTCCAGTGCAGTTTGTTGTTGTTCCGGCCCCATAAATGTTATAATACAGTGTGGTTATAATACAAGGGAATAAAATGTTTTGTAAAGGATGAAAACCAAAAATGCAAATTCGGTTACTATTTATGACTTCATAAACCTGTATGACTTTCTTTCTTTTGTGGGACACAAAATAATATATATATTTTAAAATGTCTCAGCGTTTCGTTGTCCATACAATGAATGTTAATAGAGTCCGATGCTGTTTTGGACCCCAGTGTTCTTCAGCATATCATCTTTAGTGTTGCGCCGAAGACAGAAATTCAAACAGGTTCACAATGACAATGAGGGTGTATAAATGACAGAATTTTAATTTTGGGTTGACCCATTACTTTAGGAAGAGGCATTTGGGAAAGCATGAGGAAAATGTCTTAAAGGAGCTTGAACTCTTTTTTTCAACATTTGCACTTATATATTGTTGCTCTTTTGTTAGTTTTGACTGCTTTTATTGCCCTCATTTGTAAGTCGCTTTGGATAAACGCGTCTGCTAAATGACTAAATGTAAATGTAACTCTGATCTCTATATCTCTTCGGCCTTCAGATGACCATTCTGGTGAGTCTGCGCTATCTGCAGACTGCAATGGAGGGTGTGATTGGACAGGAGAATGTGGAGATCGAGACAGAGGGATACATCCTGGAGAAGGGAGTGAAGGAGACATTGCTGGAGACTAAAGAAAAGGTGAAGAAGCTCCTCCAGTTCGCTCAGGTGGGCGACGCATCCGCTACGACCCCGGGCACACAGCCAGATGAAGAAAAGCCAGCCACAGCCTAAAAGACCAGGTGTAATTGTTTATAATGAGTGCTCATGTGCACATGAGTGCTAACTGTCCTTGATTATCATCAGCCAAAGGGAATACATCATCATAATTGCAATGTAACATTGTTACATCATTATATCGTTAAATGGAGTCATCAAGTTACCCAAAAATTTGAGGTAAAAACCAGTAACCTCTTAAAACGCTGGAAACTGTTAATGCAAAACCTGACAATACCAAAATACCCTTTTGACAATTATATATAAAGTGAAGATGTATAAAGAAGAGTTAAAGCAGAAAATTCCAAGTAAATGAAGGCAATTAAATAGTACATTTCATCACATGCGGTCTGTAGATGTTTTGCTGCTTCATGCTTTGCTTAAATAGACAAAAATTAAGAGTTGAAATTGCAAAAGATACATGCGAAAAATAAAGATTTGAGTTTTTAACTGATCTGTGAAGTCATGTGGTCATTGTGTCTTGTGGATGTTCATCAAGTGCTTATTTTTGTTTTTCTCTTTGTGTTGAAATGTGTTTTTCATTTGGACACTTCTTACCTCACACTAGCCTGATCTTAACTTCCCTTGTGAAAGAGTGTATAGTGTTAAATACATTTCCTCTTCTTTTGCCTATAAAGAGCGAGTGAAAGAGAAATTAATAGGATTACGCTGACTGAATGCTGAATATTGTTGGGTGTCCTGTTCTGACACCTGAAATCTCTTTATCCCTTTGATGATGGTTAATACTATGACTGCTGCCAAAGCACTCATACACAAAACACAACATTAGGCCAACGCAAGAAATACAACGATGTCATGCTTCTAGTTGTTTATTAAAAGTAGTTAGTTTTGCACTAGTGATCATAATAGTTTCAACTAATTTCAACTTGTTTCAGTGGATTGGTCATTCCAGGAAATTTTTTTTTTTACACACACACACACACACACACACATACTTGTATTTGTGGTTTACGGTCTCCATAGGTAGGCGTAATGGTTTTTATACTGTACAAACTGTATTTTCTATTGCCCTACACCAACCCTACCCCTAAACCTACCCCTCACAGGAAACTGCTGCCAGTTTTTGAATTTCATAAAACACCGTTTTGTATGTTTTTTAAGCCTTTTGTTTTACGGGGACACAGGAAGTGTCCTCATAAACCATGTTTACGTTGTAGTACCCATGTCATTAATATACACATTTGTGTCCTCATAAACCATATATACCTGTACACACACACACACACACACACACACACAAATAGGCCTATAATACAATTTTGGAGACAATATGATTTTTTTTCCATTTTTTTCAATATGATTTTTTTTCGGCACTACACCGTTTCACCATAAGAGAGCGGCAAAAACTCAATTTTCCTCTTCTGTCAATCTCAAATTCGATAAAAATCTCACCCAAGTCACCTTGCAAATCATGCATAGATGCATTTGCATATAACCTACATCGTTTATTTTAGGAGTACTCTCGATGACTTTCATTGACATGAATAGATTTCATTTTCCTGTGCTGCCCACACACCTATAGGCTGTGTCTCAAAGTGTAATAAGGCACGTACTGCATTTTTGGACAGACGCGTTTGTGGAGAGTGGCTATGAATCGACGCTCAAAATGCAACACAAAATGCAATCTAGATAGGCGGCCTATGAGGTTTTGAGACACAACCCGTCTGTTGCGGTCTCGCGCTGTTCAATGTGGAAACGCGCGTCACGGGCGTCATGCTGACATGAGGACGCGCAGAGGGGAACAGATCTAATGCAATGCAACTCTAGATTCCGGTGTGGTTTCGAAGTGTGTCTAATGAAGGAAGGGAAAGGCACAGAAAGCAAATATGTTAACAGTTAAACAGTTTTATCTTGACAGTTTGTTGTCAAGAGAATTACGGTAACCATGAGTGTTCTCGTCAAAGTCTATTATTTAAATAATCCGTTGTGTTTTGAGGAATAAAGGTACTGTACATGAAGATGGACGTAGACGTTACGGAAATGTTAGAAGAATTTATGGGAAGTGCACTTGTTACATGGGTAGGTGGTAAGCATAAAAAATTAAAAGTTCTTTGATAATTTTCATTTTGTTCGATAAAAAGTTTGGTAAACTTTACAAACCAGTTCAGACGTAGGCTATTCTGCAACTGTAAATAATGTTCAGAAGTTATTCTTGATCAATTAATGTTACGTACAGTTAAATCTGAACATTAACAAATTAAAAAATGGTCAACATTTATGCTGTTCTCTGCTGAAAACTCGCTGGTTTGGTCCAAGTTGATAGACCATCTTGGACAAACAACGTTTGGCCAGCTAGTTGTTGGTCCAAGATGGTCTATCAACTTGAACCAAACCAGCTAACATGTTCCAAAACAAAGCTAAGAGTGTAATAAGTTTGCAGTCTGGTTTTTGCAGCTAATGGCCAACTAGAACCAGCTAAAAACAGCCACCATGGTTTGAAACAAACCTATTTTAAACATCGAGGGATATCTTAAAATATCTCAATGATTTCTTTAGAATTTAGAGTCAAAATGAAACCTTCAATTTACTTAAGAGGATTTGGACAACCGCCCAATACCTTTAGCAAACTTCATGTAGATAGGAAACAGGAATAATAAAGCTTTCACAACAGAGAACAGATCTGTTATATTCAGATATCAGTTTTTATTATGCATCTTGATGGGAGCAGGGCATTGTTTTCATTGTCTGCAAGGTTCATCTATTTGAGGGTATTGTTGATGAGGAGGAGAATGGATCACTCTCTCAGGAATATATGGAAGTAAACTTCAACTCCCAGAATGCCGTGAGGCAGTACCTGAAGCTTACCAATGGAGTATACCTCAATGAGGTCATGAGGATCATGTAAGACAGACTCAAAAAGTGAAAGTATTAAAAAATTAAAGTTATCTGTTTTGTTTTAAATAATGTAGCATGAATAAAAAAGCTGACGATTCATTGATGGTAGTTCAGCAGTGACTCAGCTAATGCCGACATGTTTGTTGTTTGTTTGGTTTCTTTAATCAGTGATCCCAATCCAAAGGCAGAACAAATCTACCACAATGTGGGTGACGACAAGATTCTCAGGGTGCAGAACTTTTCCATCCTCAATCGTCACTTGAGATCATACTATCAGGTATTGAATTAAAGCATCAGTCAAATCACTGTGTAAACATGAGAAATATCTCTGCATGTACATTCCACAAATACATAATATTGCCCTGACTAAAATATAAATGCTGCCAGCACCTGATGGTAAAGATCAGGTAAATAGTGTATGAATGAATGAATCCACTAACTCGCTGAACAGTATGTACTGACCCTGTAGCTGTGGAACACGTTAGCCATGTTTTTTTTTTTTAGGTTTCTGTGGTTTCACTTCTTGTTTCAAATGTGGACATGTTTTTGTGCTTTTATTTTCACACAAAGCATTTGGAAACGACAATGTATTTTGTGTTCTGGACATTTTAAAATTAAAATGAAAGCAAAAAATAAATGGTAGCAAAAAACTCTAAATTATGGTTTAGCTGGATCTCGTATTGACCTGCATTATCTGGATTTTTGACATTAGCTCTTTTAAAATATAAATGAAGTGTGCTTGATGACTGCACAGTAGTTGGATTTCTTTGAGGAAACTATCTGATTACACTAAATTACACTAAATATAGGCAGGTGATGCATACATTTCTGTGCAAGCATAAGAGGAATCTTAAGTGAAGCAACCAGTGTTGATTACTAAACACAGTTATTGTGTTTACTAAACAGTACTGTTAACTAAAACTATTAAAAATCCTTTTCATTAATTGAAATAAGGCTGGAATAAAATGTAAGTATTATACTCAGAAAAAAAAGATACACAAGCTGTCACTGGGGCAGTACCCTTTCAAAAGGTACACCTTCATATATGAGAGTGTAGATGAAAACCTTAAACAAAACAAATCAGAAGTGTTGCCTTGGCAGCTAACTGAAATAAAATAAGTTTAAGTACTAAAATGACTAAAAAAGGGGGTCTGAATACTTTCCGTACCCACTGTATATAAAAACTAAATCTTAAAACTAGAATTAAAATGAAAATCGAAAAAATAAAAATAAAAGCTCAATTCAAAATATTCATAAATATTAGAAATAATACTATTAATACTAAAATAATACTGCATGTAACTTGTGACATTTCTTTAAACTATTTCACCATGTTTGCTCGACTTTTTGCCTTCACTATAGTTAATAAAATTTGCAAAAACAATTTATAGAATTATTAAAAATGAAAACAATAAAACACCACAGGGCATGTCAAATACCCAAATAAAAAACAAAATGTTACATTCTTGTAAAAAAAAAAAAAAGAATGAAAGAAAGAAAGAAAGAAAAACGTAATTATTTAAATCATTACTTAAATAATAATTTTTTTTTTACAAGAATGTAACATTTTACAGTGATGGCGAACTTCTCCATACACTTATAAAAAGTACCACGGTTGGTACTTTTTGGAATTGTGTAAATAACACTGTATATAAATTTGGTAATCAATAAATGCCATCCTATATATCACTGTACCATGGTACTGCCACAGTATACAGTAAGTCGTTTTTAAAAGCATTAGAAAATTAGCAGTGCAATAACAAGATCATCAGTCATACTGAATAAGATGTCAGTTGCAGCAGATTAATAAGCCTATTTTCCACAATCATGCTTGTTTTCTTTTGGCCATGATTGCATATGAATAAGTTTCTTCTGTGCTCTAATAAATAACACTGTATATAAATTTGGTAATCAATAAATGCCATCCTATATATCACTGTACCATGGTACTGCCACAGTATACAGTAAGTCGTTTTTAAAAGCATTAGAAAATTAGCAGTGCAATAACAAGATCATCAGTCATACTGAATAAGATGTCAGTTGCAGCAGATTAATTTTAGTTGCAGCCTATTTTCCACAATCATGCTTGTTTTCTTTTGGCCATGATTGCATATTAATAAGTTTCTTCTGTGCTCTAATGCGTGTCATACTTAAACCTCTTACTTGTGCATTGTCTGGGATGACAGCAGAGCACCAATGAGGTTTTAATGCTTGTCATTTCTTTCTTTCACGCGTGTTTCTCTTTAAGGAGAACCTACAGCAGCTGGTGCTGATGCCGCTACCAAATGTTGCTGTTTTAGGTCGAGATCCCCTGACAGGTGCGGTCCTGTCATTTGAAAAAAGGAAAACATTTCTCTCTAATTATTATTAAATAAACAGAAATGTTAAAAAAGTCCACATTTTTAAGTAAATATGCTGCGTTGGTGTTATGTTGGTTTCCTTGTCAATAGAGGGCGCTGTTGCAGAGCTCAGACGACTGCTACTGTTATTGCTAGGCTGTGCAGTACAGGTAACTAAACACTGTAAACACTTTTAATATCTTTAATGGACAGTTTCAGCACTGTAAATTGATTAGAGTGTATTGTTACTAATGTAAACATATTGATGCTTGCAGTGTGTGATTCATTTCTCTCTGTTCCTATGACTCATTGTCACCAGTGTGAAAGGAAAGAAACATTCATTCAGCAGATTCAGTGCTTGGACATTGATACACAAGCAGAGCTTGCACTTTGCATACAGGAGGTCAGTGTATTTGAACATATCCTGATCGTAATTTCAAACTAAAGCCCATTTGTGTAGTGTGCAACTAACCCTGTGATCCACCCTGCTCCAGGTGACCCAGGACCCGAACGCAGTGCTTCCTTTGGAGTTTGGAGACATGTGTGGGCTGAATGGAGCCGAGCTGCAGACTCTATTCTGCTCCATGGCCAAACAGATCCAGAACCTGCTAGCCCAACGAGACACACACTTGGAGGTGAGAGAAGAATTTATTTTAGCAGTCTGACATTTTCAGGTGCAAGTACAGTAGGTGAGGCTAGATATGATTCATTCACAGTTGTGTTCAGAAAGTTCTTCAGCTTTGGTTTCTCTGTTTGATTTTCAGAGGATAGCCGAGCTTTGTCAGGAACAGGAATCATCTACAGCCCATATAACCACGTCGAGTGGGTTTGGAGATGGACTTCCTGAAGGACTGGCTGTGCAGCTGGCAGACAGCAAAGCTAAACTGCGCCGACTCAAACAGGAACTGTGAGTTCATTTGCTAATGCATACATGATGCTTTATTTGTGGACAATATACAATATTACAGTTTTTACTGTATTTGTGATCAAATAAATGCAGACTTGTTGAGCAGAAGAGACTTTCAAGAGCATAAGAGTTTCAAAAACAATAAAAACAATCTTTTTGACCTCAAACCTTCATTTTATTCAAGTCACCGTTATTATTATAATTATGAAAAGTAACGTGTGTGATTTTAGCAATGTTAAAATATCAAGACCGTACATTTTTGTTTGGACTTGACAAGTAGCCTGACATAACATATCATAACATATCATTATTCTCTGTTTGATTTTCAGAGGATAGCCGAGCTTTGTCAGGAACAGGAATCATCTACAGCCCATATAACCACGTCGAGTGGGTTTGGAGATGGACTTCCTGAAGGACTGGCTGTGCAGCTGGCAGACAGCAAAGCTAAACTGCGCCGACTCAAACAGGAACTGTGAGTTCATTTGCTAATGCATACATGATGCTTTATTTGTGGACAATATACAATATTACAATTTTTACTGTATTTGTGATCAAATAAATAAATGCATTTTATTCAAGTCACCGTTATTATTATAATTATGAAAAGTAACGTGTGTGATTTTAGCAATGTTAAAATATCAAGACCGTACATTTTTGTTTGGACTTGACAAGTAGCCTGACATAACATATCATAACATATCATTATTTTTATAATTTCGTTATGTTACACTAGTGGCAGAGAAATTACACACTTCACCTTTGAAAGTATTTACACATGAAAATGTCTTAAAGGGAGGATAAAGGTGATCAACTACTGGATTGCAAGCAAGAAATGCAAACTATGGAGGAAGAAATGAAGAAACTACAGAAGGAAGTGAGCTCACTATACTGATAATAGACACCCTATAATGATCATTTATAAATGTGTATGGACACTGGACACTGACATACCATCTTATGTTTGGATGGCTCAGAACCGAGCGTTGCAGGTGGAAGCGCGTGTGAGTCGGGGTCTGAAGGATGAGTTGGACTGTCAGCGTGAGCGTGCAGCCAGAGTAGAGCAACTGCAGGCGGAGCTGAAAAACTGCACACATCGGCTCCGCAGCATGGAGCTGTACCGCACACAGCTGAAGGTAGAGGTGGAGATATACATTACGCTGAATCATCATGCTTTGCAATTAGGAATGACAAAGTGGTGGGCTATAATTTGGAAATGGAGTAATATTTTGTGCTACTTGTATTCTGGCAAATGATCAGCTGTGAGAACTGAAAGTTGCAAGAAAAGAAGACTAAAGGTAAATTAAATTGCAGGAAGTTACTTTTAAAGGAATAGGTCTCTGAATAAAAAATTCAGTCATTTACTCACCCTCATGTCGTTCCAAAACCATAAGACTCACTTTCTTCAGTTGAACACAAAAGGAAACCTGCATGACACTACCATTTATAACACATTTATTTGATCAAAATACAGTAAAAATAGTAACATTGTGAATATAACAATTTAAAATAACTGTTTTCTATTGTAATATATATTACAATGTAATTTATTTCTGTCATGGCAAAGCTGAATTATCAGCAGCCATCACTCCAGTCTTCAGTCACATGATATTTCAGAAATCATTCTGATATGTTGATTTCATGCTCAAGATTTCTTATTATTATCATTGTCAAAAAAAAAATCAAGTGTGCTACGTAATATTTTTGTGGAAACTGTGATAGCTTATTTTCAAGAGTCTTTGATAAATAGAAAGTCCAAAAAACAGCATTTAAAATTATTAATTCCTAAAAAAAAAATCAATATATATATATATTTTAAACTTACTGATCCCAAACTTTTGAATGGTAGTGTATTATTTGCATTTGGATTAAAAAAGTGGAGTGCTTTCATCTGGAAATAATATTAAATTAGTTAATTATTGGATAATTAGTAATGACATTATCAAATTTGTAGAATAAAAGCTTTAAAAAAAGTTGTTATCAGTCATAAAACATGTTGCATAAAGAGTCTCTGGTTAGCAGTGTGAAGATTCTGCAAAAATATCAGAGAAGAAAGTAAGTCAGGTTTGGGTTTGGAACAGCATGAAAGTTAGGTGAATGATTTCTTGAACAGTCATTTTCTCTGGCCCTACAGGAGCAGCAGCAGTACTGCGCCTCGCTGCAAGAGAACAAGGCACTTCTGGATGAGCAGCTGGCTGACTCTCGAGCACGTTGCACTGCTCTGCGGGAACTGGAGAAGGAAAATCTTCTTCTCAGGCAGAAGCTTGTGGATATGGAGGGTGTATGAATGACTTTATGAACTTATGGTGTTTAATTGCTATGCTTCCATTTGACACTATGGAGCTCAAGTTTGATTAATTATGTTGGGTTGTAAGAAAACTTCTAAAATTTGCTTTAAAATGTATGAAAGTTATATGAAAGAATTGCATTCTTCTAAAATGTATGATGTATATTCATGATGCTTTATGGTTATATAATTGCATTTATGTAGGAGCGAGATGTTGAGAGACAGAGGGTAGACGAGCTGTTGGAGATGAATATGAGTCTGCAGGTGGATCTCAAGCGTCAGGTTCATTCTGTGGGTGTCAGTCAAAATGTGACTCTTCAGCATTTCCTCCAATCAGAGCTAGAGTCAGACGAGGACGTTCAGGAAATTTACATGCCTGAGATTGGTAGGTTTTATGTATGATTTGATATTATGATATTTGATATTATGACTCAGCTGCCATCGGTAGACGACTGATTTCATGACTTCATGCATATGTATATCAATCATGTATATGCAGATCAAGCTGTCGTGTTGAAGAATAGACATTTATGCATACATTTACATTTCACCCTATCACAAGCACTCAATCTTAAAGGATCTTTCACACAGAAATTAAAATTCTGTCAACGTTCACTCACACCTATGTCTTTCCAAACCTGTTTGTTGTTTTTTTATTCTGTAAAGCACAAAAGGAAAAGATTAGCATTGTTCTGGATGCTCTTTTCCATACAGTGAAAATGAAGGAGAGCAGACAGTGCTAAGCTCCAAAGATTTTTATAAATAACACTTTCATGTTGATTTTTTCAACTTTTTTGAAGCTTGACAATGTTCATCCATATTTTCATTGTGTGATAAAGAGAAGAAGAAACATCCTGCCCTGCTTCTCATGAGTTGACAACAGAAATTTCATTTTTGAGTAAACTAATCCGTAGAGGAATAGTTCACCCAAAAATGAAAACTCTGTGATCATTTACTCACCCTCATGTCATTCCAAACCCATAAGACTTTGGTCAAAGGTATTTTAATGAAACCTGAGAGGTTTCTGTCTCTCAACTGAAAGTACAAGTAAACGAAACCTAGAATATGATATCTCTCCACAAGACTAGATTAAGATTCAACTCATTTGGATTCATTTTGCGACACCTTTCTAAATTTTATTTACCTGAACTTTCAATGGAGGAACAAAAAGCTGTAAGATTTCATTAAAAATATCTTAATTTACGTTTCAAAGATTAACCAAAGTCTTATGGGTTTGTAATGACATGAGGGTGAGTAAATTGACAGAATTTTTATTTTGGGGTGAACTATCCATTTAATAACATTTGCATTTATGCATTTAGCAGATGCTTTTGTCCAAAGTGATTTATAAAAAGAGGAACAAAAGCAGTTTGTCAAGGAGCCAACAATATTCGTAATATACAATGCCAGGTTTATTTGACAACTGGATTAGAAAGCGAGCAAGAGAAGAGGAGAAATGCAGAGAAGAAAAGTTTTTTTAATACGTGTGAGAGTGGGTAAGTGCATTGGTTTAAGGGTGTGGGGTGGTTAAGTGCTCAAGAATAAGGTGTGCTCAGCTGCTTCTTGAAAGTTGCAGTGGTCTCAGCAGTTCAGGTGGAGGTTGGCAACTCATTCTAACAGAGAGGAACAGAGAGGATGAAGGTTTTGGAGAGTGACTTTTTGCCTCGTTGTAAAGGAACAATAAGGAATAACATGTGCATGTGTCTCTCTTACTGTCATTTAGATCTGAAGCCTCTCAGTGAGGAGGTAAACGAGGCTTCCTCTCTGAGGCTTCTGGGAGCTGAAAATGAGAATGCTGAACTGAGGAGACGACTGGAGCTCCTGCAAGCTGAACGAGAGGCCAGTGGATGCTTCGACATTTTAATCCTCGGGCTACAAATTGATTCTTGTAAATTCTCAGGTTTCCCATGTTCCCGTCTCTCTTGCAGTCTCAGCAGGCCATCTCCCCTGACATGACTGAAGAGCTCCAGAGACGCATGGACCAACTCTCACAAAAGCTTCAAAGCACCCTCAAGGAGGTGAGGCACTTAAGATGGATTTAAAGACAGTTATTCTAAGCGTTTTGTCTACTGTCATTTTGTCCTCGTCTCAACTCTTTGAATCAGGCCCTGCCATTTCTCTTTCAACTGTCAGATGGCGTGTCTGAAGAATGAAAATAGCAGCTTGAAGATAAATCTCGAAGAGCTGAGGACAAAACAGCAACGGAAAGACCTAGAGGAAGAGAGAGCAGCCTCGAAGGGAAAAGAAGGGAAAAAGCCAATAATCCCAAGAGGGGAATGCGAGGGATATGACACAAGAAGAGAGAAACACGATGGAAAAGAAGGCGTAATAAAAGCCCAGAGAGAAGATGGAGAGGGGGGAGAGGGGAGCGTAGTAATCCTCAGCGAGAGAAAAAAGAAGGTTATAGATGAAATGAACACCAAAGAGAGAGGAGAGGCTGAGGGTGAGAAAGAAATTGAAAGGAAGAAAGATATCACAGAAGAGGCATCTCAGACGTACAGCACTGAAGCCCAGAAGACAGAAGAAGATAAATTCTCCCAGGACGCCCTCGCCCTGCATAACCAGCTTCAGCAGGCCCTGGAAGAGGCTGACAGACAGACCACTTTAGCCCAGGATTTGCGCTCCAAACTGGCAGAGCAGAGTAAGAAGGTCTTGGAGGCCGAACATAAGCTAGTTTTCCTGGAGGCTGAGAATCAGCGGCTGAAGAAGGCAGCAGAGAGCCTCATGGAGGCTAGGAAACAAATAGAGGTAATGAACCATCAAGCTATGACACAGAAAAACCTTAATTACTACATCATTGCACAAACTCCTTCAACATCCAGCCATATAATGGTCCAGTCGATAACGGCAATGACTCACCAAGTAAAAACGCAACTCCCTGCCACTAGCAATTAAGAAAGAAATTCAATATGTATACTAGACCCGTGTAAAACAAGCACTATTTCTCACAGTGACGACTTTTTCCACTTTTTCCATTGTATCATATGGCATAATGAACTGGGATTGCACTTGAAGAGATGCCAGCCTGATTTCCTCAAGGAACGGTCTTTGAATCATCACCATTGTGCCTTTAAGCACAGCACTTCACTTTGATATGCTTTGGATAAAAGTGTCTGCTAAATAACCACTTAATATGTTTATCTGTCAGGTGCTGCAGGGTGAGTCTATGCAGCAGGAGGAGGAACTGATGCATCTGCGCAGTCAGGTGGAGTTTCAGAAGATGCAGGCCACAGTGATTGCTCAATTAGAGGGAGAGAGGGCAGCCTTGGAGAGGGAGAGAGAGACACTCAGAGGCACCGTAGACTCACTCAGGGCTGCAGTACGCAAGGTGAAGCGGGTTAATTGTTCGCCCTTTTGCTGTACTAGAAGATATGGATTACATGGCTGGGGAAACATTGAGATTAATGGTGCCTACATTAAAATTATGCTGTAACAATGAGTAGATATCAAAAAACACAATGGGCAGAGAATCAGCATGGGTAACAGTAATTAGACACCAATAGATGATAATTGGTCTTGAAAGTGGTAGTTCACAGAAAATTTGAAGTTCTGTTATCATTTACTCACCCTCATGTTGTCCAAACTCGCATGCGTTCTTTTGTGGAAAGCAAAGGAAAATACATACAGTTAAAGTGAATGAGAACTAAAGTTGTCAAGCCCCCAAAAGATTTAAAAACACCATAAAAGTAGTTCATATGAATATGTTAGTCCATATGAGCTATATTATATGGATCTGTGTGAAGAACAGACCAAAATGTTAATTACAAATTTACATCTCTTAATTCTCATTTGCATATTCAAACTTTGGAGTATAAAGATGCCTCATGCCATGTTTAACGTCAGTAATGCCATTGGTTCTTGTCTCATGACTGAACATGACATGCCAACTTTATATATGTTGATTTGAGAGTTGTGCTGAAAGGAAAGATTTTCGTTGCAAAAACCATTTAAATTTCAAATTAAATCCATATACAAGCTTCAAAAGCCTTTCAATTTAGCATACAAGTCATATAGATTACTTTTATGTCAGTAAGATTTTTGCTTTGAAAGAAATTCATACTTTTATTCAGCAAAGAGGCATTAAATTGATCTGAAGTGACAGTAAAGGCTTTTCTTTGACTTTGACTTTGACTTTCCTTGTGTACTTCAAGGAGTATTAACAGCATATAGAGATACAAGCATCAAGTAAATTATGACAGAACGTTAATTTTTAGGTCAACTATTCTTTCAAATCTGAAGAAAAGTGAGTGTTTTCTATTTGTTGACTGAACTAAGCAAACTATTTTTTATAGGGTGATCAGTTGGAGCTGACCAACCAAAACCTTAAGGCAGACCTTGAAAGATTGGGACGGACCTTAGAGTCTGCCAGGCGGCATGAAGAGGAGCTACAAGCTGAACTGCGAGAATCTGGCGTGGAGATGGAGTCTTTGACTCGAGGACGGGAAGAAGCGCTTCTTGAAGTCATGCGACTGGAGCAAGAGAAGGAGTCGTGTCAGGCAGAGTTGGACAGTCAACGGCGTGAGCTACGACAACGAGAGCGAGAAATGATCAGACTTAGACAGCAACTGGAAAGCACAACATCTGCTCTAGAGCATGGCAACCAACGAGCCTGCAGCCTAGAGGCACAAAACAGGTACAGACATAAGTACAGGCAAAAGGACCTTAGCACTCATTATTTACTCACTTTCATGTCATGATATTAAAAACTTTTACACTGTTACAAAAAAAACATATTTCAAATAAATGCTGTTCTTTTTAACTTTCTGTTTATCAAAGATATAAAAAAAATATATATTACAGTTTCCACAAAATATTAATCAGCACAACTATTTTGAACATTGATAATAAAAGTAAATGTTTCTTTAGCACCAAAACAGCATATTAGAAACATTTCTGAAGGATCATGTGACACCGAAGACTGAAGTAATGGCTCCTGAAATGTCAGCTTTGCCATCACATGAATAAATTACATTGTAAAATATATTAAAATAGAAAACAGTTCACAATATTACTATGTGTACTGTATTTTTAAACAAATAAATGCAGCATCGGTTAGCATAAGAGATTTATTTGAAAAATCTTACCACTTTTTCGATGAATGTCATGTCTTGTCATATCATAGGGACCTTGTTCTAACAAGCTCCAAAAATTACCAAACACAATGAATGTAGTTTACATGACTTGTGCGCAATATATAATTTTAACCTAAGTTCAAGTAGTTATTCACTATTGATAATCTTCCACTGCAGCTTTCAAATCTCTATCAGCATTAGTTCTTATCTGTCTGTTGCTCACACATCATATTGCTTCAGAAAACGTGGAATATAGTGCGCAAGTTGTATGGACCACCTAAGACTTTATGAAACTTTTATGATGCCTTTTTTGGTGTTTTTTTATCTTTTTGTGGAACAACAAATGGAACAACACAATGACGAGTATTTAATGAATATATTTTCATTTTGTGAACTCTTTAATTCACACAGAACCCTTTGTCAAAGTCCTTATTTCTGATCTTATGAAATAAATAGTATGGCATAAGAATATTATGTGTATCACTCACTACATCTGTCATATGCCCACAGACGCATGTGTCAGGAGATTTCTCAGCTCAAAGAGACATCTGCCCAGTTCGAGGAGCTGCAGAAGGAGAATCTGCAGCTCGGTACACTCAACGCTGAGAGGAAGGTCCAGATTGACTCTCTAACAAAGGTCTGTGTGCAGTATTCAACGTGTTTGTTTGCAAGATCTGAATGATAAAAGCAATTACTATAGCGCTTCAGTACACCATATTTCTGCAATTATGTTTGCCTCGAGGTCCCACTGAGCTGAGATCTTGCAAAATGGGCCTCTTTGAATATTTCCTTTCAACCAGATAATTGTTTTCTAGTTGCTTTTTTATCTGAAAATCCTCAGCGCAATTAGATTTCCCCTCCTTGGACAACTGTGCTGAAAATGCATCTTTGTGAGATTAATGAAAGCTGTTATTGCTCAGGTTTTCCTAAAGAGTCACGTGGTTGGTTCTGGATAAAGCTAGTAAGGTACAGTAATTGTCTAACTTTAATATCTCACTCACAACCAGGATCTGGCTAATGAGAGTGCCCATTCCCGAGAGTTATCCAATCAAATCGCACAGCTGAACCGAACACTTGAAGAGCTGCAGACCAAGCTTGAAATGGCAGCTACACAACAGCAGCAGTCATCTCCAGAGGTTGCTTTTTCACCTCCTGACTCACACACACAGAGAATCGAGGGTTGTGAATCAAACAGACAGTCTCCACCGCTGTCAGGAAGCCCCCAGGAGGCCACTGTCAGTACTGTACATAAGGTTAACCACAACCAGAGCTTTGGGCCTACAGACTCTGTCTATGCAGCAGAAGACTCTGAAAACACAAGGAACAAACAACCACACACAACGGCAGAGACTGGCACTGGCAGCCAGGAGGCGTCGAGTCAAAGACTGATAAATACGGAAAGGGAGGTGAGATAAAATGCAAAACACACACTGAAATGTTATTACGTTTTGGGCCCCGCAAGGCAACCTCACGTATGTTTTTATTTAAACTTCATTAACGCCATCCAGGGATTCTGATTACATTCTAAATGAATGGATATCAACTTGTATGCTGAACTCTGTGCCTCTGGTTGTATCCCAGAATGCAGTGCTGCAGCGAGAGCGGGAGGTGTTGCTGTCTCAGCTGACTCAGTCTCAGTCAGCCTGTGCTCACCTCAGAGAGCAGTTGGATGCCCTGCAGCGCCACTCCATCTCGCTGCAAGAGAACTGTGCTAAATTACAGGCCCTCAACACCAAACTACAGGTGAGTGCTTGATTGAGTGGGTTGCTGGTCTCAAAAAGGACCCTTGACACTGAAATAAAGACTGGGGTATTTTAGAAACTGACATTTGTTTAAAGGGGTGGTTGATTGCGATTTCACTTTTTTAATGTTAGTTAGTGTGTAATGTTGCTGTTTGAGCATAAAAAATATCTGCAAAGTTACGAAGCTGAAAGTTCAATGCAAACGGAGATATCGTCTTTTAAAATTCTGGCAGTTTAATGCCTACAAAAACGGCTGGTAGGGACTACAACAAGTTACTTCCCGGGTTCGTGACATCACAAACCCAGATAAACCCCACCCTCGGGAAAAGGCAGCAAAGGGGGCGAGGCCATGCTGCGCTGCTTTAGAGAAGAGGAAGAGAAAACTAGAGGTGCACGTAAAAATCTATTCATATATGAATCGCGATTCTGTCTTCTAACGATTCTAATGGATTCACAAGTTTCAAAATCAATGTTCTAAAGCAGCATTTCTTAATACTGTTCCTCGCGTCCCCCTGCTCTGCACACGCTCTGCATCTCTCTCTCTCTCTCTCTCTCTCTCTCTCTCTCTCTCATTCAGCTCAGCTCCAACAATGAACTGTTCCAATTATACACTTATTTTCACATAGCTATGAGAAGCGTTATACACGGATGTCCATGCAGTTGCCGTACTGTATTAAAGCTTTAATCAGGATAAAACCATATTAAAAGCTAACATAAGCAGTAGCATTTACAAATAACAGCATATCTAAAAGTATGAGACAACAACAAACAAAAAAACATAGGCCTACCATTAAAAGCCGTGCTTGCACAGGTTCTGCACGATCCTCTTCAATAATATCCTCTGCTTCTCAATCTGGCTCAAACTGATAAGCGATATTAACGACGCTGTTGTTTACAATACAACCTGAGCACATGCTGCTGAGGTGAGGGGCGGGACGTTTAGCCAATCACAACACACTGGGCCAGCTAACAAATCAGAGCCCATCGCCTATTTCTGAGGGCGGGGCTTCATAAAAAGCGCAAAGCAACAAAATGTGATTATTTTAAAGGGGTTAATTCTTTTATATACCCACTGTATCTTCTTTATTTTAACCTATTTCCCCTCATTCAGGTGGAACAGGCATCTCTGAGCTCCGAACATGCGGCAGTGTTGGCACGTTGCAATGAGAGCGAACTGCGCTGTGTGGCTCTGAAGGCAGAATCAAGGGTGTGGCTCAAGGAGAAGGAGGAGTCAGTGATGCGCCTAGAGGCTGCAAGGCGGGATCACGAGAGACTGACAGCTCTGCAACAGAGACAGGAGGCGGAGTTAGAAGAGTTGTTGGCCAAACACAGTCAACTGAAAAGCAGCAGTCGCAGTCTAGAAGCTCAATATAAAGACACTGAGGCCAGGTACCGTGTTTTAGACAAGTTTAATTTAATTAATTTAATAATAAATTAATAATCATTTATTTATTTGAAAATAAATTAATTTATAATAATTTATTTAGTAAATAATAATTTTAGCTGATTCGCATAAGAGGTCAAAGGGATAAAATGTGATGTTATTTATTTAATTTAATAAATTAATTTGTAATAATTTAATAATAATAATTTTAGCATACTCACAAAAGTGGTCTAAGAGTTAAAACGGTGAGGTTATTTAATTGTGACCCAGTGACACAAAACCAGTCATATTGAGATTTAAACATCATCTGAAACCGGAATAAATAAGCTTACCATTGATGTATGGTTTGTTAGGATATGACAATATTTGGCCGAGATACAACTATTTGAAAATCTGGAATCTGAGGGTGCAACAAAAATCTAAATACTGAGAAAATCGCCTTTAAAGTTGTCCAAATGAAGTTCTTAGCAATGCATATTACTAATCAAAAATTAAGTTTTGATATATTTACGGTAGGAAATTAAAAAAATATTTTCATGGAACATTATCTTTACTTAATATCCTAATGATTTTTGGCATAAAAGAAAAATCGATAATTTTGACCCATACAATGTTTTTTTTTGGCTATTGCTACAAATATACCCCAGCGACTTAAGACTGGTTTTGTGGTCCAGGGTCACAATTAAGAATAAGAATGAATTAAGAATAAATTAATAGTACTTTTAGATAATATATGTGTTTTTTTAGGTCATGTCTTGTTTTAAGTCAATCTGTGATGAATCGAAATATGAATACACAAGGTGTATGAAAAAAGTAAAATAAATGTAGATTCCAAGAAAGTATTAACGAATATTACTAAAATAAAACATACAATAACACACCACATACACACACAGATTTTTTTATTACACATAAAACTTTTACACATAATAAAAAAACTTAAGACTTTGATGTAGCTTGGTTTTAATAAATAGTATGTTGATATAAACATGACTATAGTATTGGTTTATTGTTGTTGAAGTAATTGTTGTTCCATATGACTTTAACATCATATGAAATTAAAACATGAATTTACAGTAGCTGAAATAAACTAAATAATCTCGATTTATGATTTATAAAAATATCTTTCATTTAAGGCTTGTAAAATGTTCTAAATACCGTACTTGTCTAGATATAAGGAGCTGTTGGAGCGAAAAGCAAAGTTGAAGGAGGCAGAGGAATCGATACGTGTGGAGAGACAGAAAATGGAGAAAGTGACACAAGGGCAGGTGGAGAGCGAGAAAGAGCTGGAGAGACTGAAAATGGACAATGAAAGGTGAGAAAAAGTCATAATTGTGGTGACCGCAACACTGGGTTGAAGTTACAGTTGAGCAGATTCTTTTTTTTTTTTTAAAGGTTATTTATGGCGTTTTATGCCTTTATTTAGATAGGACAGTATAGGTCGACAGGAAGTGAAGTGGGTGAGGGGGATGGGATTGGGAAAGGTCCGCGAGCCGGGACTCGAACTCGTGACACCCGAAGCGCAATGGCGCTGTATGTCGGCGCGCTGCCCACGAGGCCATCGGCGTCGACAGTTGAGCAGATTCATAGGAAAGAGAGAGGAAGTGATGATACCACCCACCACAAACTGCTCTTCACCCACTGTGGTGATCGTAAGCCCCACCAAAGTCTCACCAGAGCATGAGTCATTTCATAGCCCAGTTTCCAACAGTTGTTGCCATGGCGTGACGACCTGTGAAAATATTTGTAAAGCTGGTTGCTTTGGTGATGAACGGGATAAAGAAAATATTTCTACATAACCCAGCAGGAGGCAGTTTACTTTTATTCAGTATGTTCAGTTAGTCAGCTTTGATCACTTGTCTAGATGAAGAGACATAAAAAAAGCATGTCTGGGCTTAACCTCAGAATCTAGAGAAATATTTTGCATGAAGAAAAAAGACAATGAAGCCTACATTAGATGTACTTTTAATCATTTAGAGTTGTATAGAAATATATAATATAATCACAAATGGCAAAAAAAAAACATTTTCATTAAGCCTTCTTTAAATCTTTTGGGAGTAAAATATGACCTTCATTAGATGTGTAGTTTAGTTTAATTCACCTGTTCAATGTATTGACTATCTGTAGATATCAGAACTTGCAGAAGGAGTGGTTTCAGGTGCAGTCCGAGCTGCTGGCTCAGAGTTCAGTTCTGCGGGCAGAGTTGAGTATGGCTCAGCTTGAACGGACCAGACTGGAGGGAGAACTCAGCACTCTTAAAGAGCAGAACCAACAGCTGGATCTCAACAACGTCCGTCTCAGCAGCCAAAACCAGGTCTGAGCACAATGCAAATTATGACAGTGTCTGTATATATACAGTATATAAGATTTTTTCTTTCTTTTTCTTTAAAAAAAAATCATGAATCAAATATTCAGCAAGGACAATTTTAATTAAATCAGCATATTACAAATCAGCAAATTACAGTGATTTCTGAAAGATCATGTGACACTGAAGATATAGTAATATCTGGAGTAATGATTCTGAAAATTCAGCTTTACCATCACAGGAATTATTTTAAATAAAATAATAAAAAATATTGAAATAGATTATTTTATAGATTATAATGGTTAGTAATATATATATATATATATATACTGTATTTTTTATTAAATAAATGTAGCCTTCTCAAGATGTCTTTAAATGTAAATTATTAGAGATTCAATTATTATTAATTTTATGTGTTGTATCATTTATTTTATCATAATGCTTCAGTTTTACATTTTTCAAAATTATTTACAGGTTCAGATTTTGTGGTTCTATTATGCATTTCATTATACTGAAAGTCTAATATTAATCACGTTAACTACAAAAAAGTTTAATAATAATTATTTTAATTTATAGTATCATTTATTGCCCTAGTATTTATATGTTTGTTATAGCTCCTAACCCAGTTGAAGGCGAACTTGGAGGAGGAGAACCGACATCTCGTAGAGCAGAACCAGAATCTGGCCAAAGATAACAAGGCCCTTCTGGAGAGCAACCTGGAGAGCCGAGACCAGCACCACAACCAGCAGAGAGAGTACCTGTAAGAACACACACATTTGCAACTCACTTTTATCCACCTTTTCCACATGCACCATGTAGAACGTTCAGCTGTGTACCACCTGCATCATGTTTTTCTCTCCCATCCGTCCATCTCTCTCCACCTCAGTGACAAGCTCAACGAGCTGCGCAGGGAGAAGCAGAAGCTGGTGGATAAGATAATGGATCAGTATCGTGTTTTGGAGCCAGGTCTGCCTGGCATGTGTCCAGCCAAACAACCAAAGTTAGTCAGGCTTTAACATCTGTCTCTAGCAGACCTTTTCACCATGGACACGTTGCTTTACTCACTGTATGCTCTCTTTCATCTTGACATCCTGCCGTTTTTCTCTTTTACCTTTTTTTGACTTATCTGAATCTTACTCGCCGCCTTTCAATCACCTATAAATTCTCTTGTGGCTTCAGGAAGTCGAACTGGATAGCGGACCGCATGAAGAAGCTGATAAAACCTAAAGGTGGAAGCAAAGAAGGCCGTGCTCAGTTTATTGCTGCTGGCAGTATAGAGAACCTCGCGGATACTGTAGACGGTGCTCCCATCTCTTCAGCTCCAGCGCCTGGTGAGACTGCAGAGCTGTATGGCTGGTGTAATAACATTAGATGTACTGTACCACAGAGCGTAAGAGAGTGCCAGGAAGTTAAGACTGCAGGGCTCCCTGGACTCTGTAAAACACAAAAAGGTCCCCAAAAGCCCATAACAATGAATGATGCTGTTACCCTACCACATTATGCCATTCCCTTGGATCACAACCAAACATAGTAATTCTGTGTTTATGTGAAGGAGCAGTGGAATGGAATTTGCAGATCAAATGAATATTGCACAGAGTGTATACAGCACTGAGATTTATGGTAATATAAATGTTGTCTACATTTACAACTGCAGTATTTAATATACAGGCTATTAATGTTCCCTGTTTGTTTAAAGCAAATAAATAAAAAAAATAATAGAAAGAGCAAAGCAATCAATTGTAATTAAAACTGAGTGCTGTTGGTAAGAAAGCTTTGCAACAATAATTCCTACAAGAAATAACAACAGTGGGACACCGTGCTGTGAATAAAGCTCGTTGTTTTCTGAAAAAAAAAAAATAAATAATACTAAATCTAGTAATACTGTATAAATAATAATAATGTATAAATAAAGTAACAGTGTAACATTACTTATATGTAATGTATTTTCTGTGTATATGGTAGATGCATATGACATGGCATTGACTTTTTTTGAGCAAATAAGGGGATTTGTAATTTTTAGAATATATCCAGTATGTTTTCCTTTGTCGTTCTCATAAAAAAAGTTCTGTATTTTGACAAATATATTAAAATTCCATACATTTAAATCAGTATTATACCAGTTTATATGTGAAAGTCACAAAAAGTGTTTTAAAAATGATTATTTTAGCACCATTATTTATTTAGTTTTGCTTTGTAACTTTTTTCTTGACAACTAAGCACATTTCACCTCAAATTCCCATATGGTAATGTATCTGGATTTATTTTTATTTTCAGTGATGATTCTGTTATTGATTCTTGTAATTTTTTTGTAAACAGAATATATTTTCAGCATAAATTAAAGGCAGCACAACAAATACAGTATTAACAATGTGTAAATTTAAATAAGATATTTTATTTATTGTATCTTTTTTTTGTAATTGTTTATATAGTATATATTTATATTATTTTATATTTTTTCAAGTTAGAATAATGAGAATTTGGGGGGATAATGTGCTTAATAATTTTGAAAATAATGTCTCAGTGCAAAAAAAACCCTTAATTGTTAGGTTTGTAAGATTCATCCATAAATACCTTTACCTCAACAGAAAGAGAATGAAAATATTTTATCTTTTACAAAGTACTCTCTTCACTGTTTCACCCCTCAGTTCAAGAGCAGGATCCCATCAGTGCTCCAGTCTCTCCGAGTTCACTAAGGAGAATCTCATCTCAGGCAGAAGAAGACCAACCCAAAGCTAATCTGCGGAGTGGTCGGCGCAAGCTGGGCTCCCGGCACGGCTGGGCTCTCGGCAGGGGCAGAGGAGGAATTTCCCAGTCCTTCAGCCCAGGAGACCAGCGCGTACAGCCTCGCATCCGTCTGCACTCTTCCCAAACAGGCGCCATGGCCCTCTGGGAACATGATGGCAGCCCTACACCCAGCCAGGACAGCCCTAGTGAGGAGGGGAGAGGTAAGAAGGGTAAAGATATAGGGTAAACTAGATAGGGTAGCAGGAAATGAAATTTGCTTAAGGTTGTAAAATAACATGCATTTCTATTTGTTTTTTGTTGATTATAATATCTGTATGTGTGTTTTAGTTGATAGTGAGGAGAACATCTCACCTGCACACTCTGATGTCAGCCGTGTATCATCTGGAACAGAAGGTCAGTCTACAGCAGTGGCTTTTAACTGGTGGATTTTTGTCACAAATTAATCTGTCAACTGGTAGAAGCTAGACACATTAGGTTAATGCCAAAACATCGACATGCTCTTACGATTTAAACATAATCAAACTACACAAGGTGAAATAAAATACAATCCAGAAATTAAATGTGGTTTCACTTGTAAGAAGGATAAAGATTGTCTTTCAAAACTATTAAGTCAATATAAAAACAAGCTGTCTCTTCTTTTCCATTCAGCCTGTCATATTAATACATTTGAACATGGATAAAATACTACATTTCAAGAAAAGTTTTGTTTGCTTTAAATTAGTTAGAATAATTAGCCACTTAATATTCAGCCAGATCAGTTCAGTTCCTTTTAATTATTGATTATGTCTTGATTTATTTTAAGAATGCCCAAAAAGCATTAACAACATCTTTTGTCTCTCTCCTTTAGATTTTCACTCCAGTTTTGACAAGCCACAGGACACAGAAAACAAACAAGCATAAAGCAATAACAATTTGTTAACGCTCATTTAACTACCTTTATCCCTTTTATATATAAAACCTTTATCCCAATTTTATATATAAAACATCCATAAAGCATATAGTATACACTTACTATATGTAATGGTCCAGTACATTTATTATGGGAAAACAAATAAATTAATTTAAAACACATGTGTATGATGCATCCATCATTAATACACTCCATATATTTATAGACATGCGACTATCATGACTTCAATGAAATATTATACTAAATTATTATACTTATATAGTGGATGAGGTTGTAGTTCTTATCCTCACCGATATGTGGCACTATAATGCCCAGTGGTTGGTGTGCTGGTGCCTTTGTATCTGTATAATTATGAGCGTGTCTTATACAAACTGATGCTAACAAGATATTTATGAGAGCAGATTAATTCATGCTGTCTCGTTGGGAAAAAAAGCTGACACTTTGGAGACTTTGACATTTAGGAAGGAGGCAGAAGATGATGGGGGTCTTAAAGCAACGTGGGTGCGGGTAAAGATTTTTTTTTTTTTTGACAATCCTTGGCTGGGGTGAATCATAACTCAAAAACGACAAATGGAACGCTAATACAATTCATGAATTATGCAGTTGTCATGGCAACATTAATCAAAATGCGTCAGTCCGCAGACCTTTTCGCCGATGAATTGATGATATACTGAGCACCACGATGCACAGTTTAGAGACTGTCATCCAGTAAACCACATTTTAAGGAATGTCTTGATGCTGCATTCAAAATGTTTAGACGATACACTTTAAATCAATTAATTGTCACAAAGATGCCAAAAACACTATTTTTTCAGCCGAACAAAGAAAAGCAATTGTGAAGTTGTCAGAATTTCGGCTAAAATTAGAGGACCCCCAGAGGGTAGCCTTCGTTAATTTGATGATTATTATGAGATCTCATGGGCTGATTGCCTCTGCAATAGAGTCCAAAGCCACCATGTATTTACATGCAACAGATCGTATGCAGCTATTGCGAGATGAGATGTGACCTCCTGACTCCCTGGAGTTTGTTGAAGATACTAAGACCTTGTGGGGATCATCTGAAATATGGTCACCGGTGATAGTATCTTTCCAAAGCACTCTCATCTAACCCCATTCATTCCCGCTTTCTCCTTCCATCAACAGCTCCTGTCATGCTCCCCTTCCTGGCGCACTCTCCTCCTCTCCCTCCCTCCCTCACTTGTTTCTACCCCAGTGTATTAAAGGCTTTGACGCTCTCAGTAAAAAGCTGATTTATTTTGTGGAGGTATCGATCGCTCTCTGCATTAAAGATTATAATTCATTACCCCGGCCCTTTTAATACATTAAACATTCAAAATAAAAATAAAATAAAATCGAGGTAGGTGAGAGGAGAGCACTCAGACACTGTCCACTCACACATGCACACACGCTCTCCATTTCAATCGCATTTGGACAAACACTAAAACCTTAAAAGAAAGAAAAAATTCAGCCACCATTTTCAGAAGGGTAGAATTATCAGTCATATATAAATGTATTAAAATAATCTTAATATAAATCTATATTCTATTAAAATAACACACACACTCACACACACACACACACACATATATATATATATATGAAGTGACCACAGCTCACAGTCACTGAAGTCCACTTGGTCAACTATTGGTTTGACCTGCTGACCAGCCGGCCTTGTTCATGACCACGACACACGTCAGTGACAATGACAATAGTAAAATAAACATTTTGCGTCTAGTTTTATATATTAGTCAAAGATATATTCTGTAATAATCTAAAAGTTTAACCCATTCCAAATCTGACGAAAAAAACAAGTTGTGCACATATGTGCACGTTTATTTTCAAATATTTTCAATGCTTTGTTTTTTTTTTCGAAGTCCAGTTAACAAAATAAAAATAAATAGGCAATATAAATAAACAAACATAAATAATTTACTTTGCCAAATAATATTTGTTAAATAAATATATATATATATATATATATATAAAATAATTAATAAATCAGATTACATACTTGAGGATTTACACTTGCATTCTGAAACTTATTTTTCTTCTAGTATTTTTATTATTTATTCTAGCAATCTGACATGTGTTTTTGCCTGGTGAAACAGGGCACTTAGTAATTTTGTGAATACTGTTTTAGGCCAAATCCAACATAATGGTGGTGAGCATTGCATGGGCAAGCAAGCACAACTCACATTTTCAGAAAAAAAAAATTCATGTTTTCTTAGCAGAAACTTCCTAAAGAATGTAGGCTATATAAAGTGCATATCATGAAAGCTGGGAAGGTAGTTCAATTACACAAAACAAGGTAAGCCTCAAAACCAGAGGAGAATGCCACGGAAACAATGCAAGAGTGTCAAAATAATTGCGAATGCATGAAAAGATCCATCACTGGTGGTAGTGTATTCAGTGTGGGCAGACTCAGAGCATTGTACAAGATCTATGACAAAATACAAGATCCATGACAAAAATAGAACCAAACAGGATAAAGATACAATGGATTATTTTATAATGGAGCGAATAGGCAATCGTATATTGCCCACAAATGCAATGCCCAGTAATGTCCCACTGTTCCATTATCACGCTAAGCACTCATGCTCCATCTAACATAGTATTTTTTAATAGCAAATGCAACATTTATGGTTTGTACACAGCAACTGACACAATGCCTTTTATTGATATAGCCTAAATCAAAATAGTAGGCTATGATCACTTTGCTCTTTGGTTAACTATTTTTCTAGTGACACTGACAACCTCAAATTAAGGGCTGGTTCACACCTAACGCAGTTACTCGTTTTATTGCTGCCGCTTTTCATTTTTGTTTTACTTAAAATGTGCTTAGAGGAACGTACTTTGCGTATCGCTGATTTTTCAGCGTCGCATACTAGCGCCACGTTTTTAAGAAGTTAAAAGTTTTAAGAATCGTTTCCAATTCTATGAGAATGGGGAAGTTGGAAGTCCACTCCACAGCTGTAACGATAACGACACAGAGGAACGATATCGTAGGAATCACTTTCACAACAATTTTTTTTCTCTGGCCAATAAATGACAAAAACGCTGACAGCCAATCAGCGCTCGATGTTAAAAAGTATTCTAGAGCAGGGGCCACCAAACTTGGTCCTGGAAGGCCGGTGTCCTGCAGAGTTTAGTTCAAACCCTAATCAAACACACCTGAACCAGCTAATCAAGCTCTTACTAGGTATACTTCAAACATTCAGGCAGGTGTGTTGAGATAAGTTGGAGCTAAACTCTGCAGGACACCGGCCCTCCAGGACTGAGTTTGGTGACCCCTGGCCTAGAGCATACAAAACAATGACATGACGGCAACGCACGCTTATAAACAGAGCATTATCGTCCGTTGGTATGGACGCTTATATAGTTATCCTTACAGTTAAAAGTTTTGCTTATAGCTAATAGTTAATTTGGGTGTGAACAGGAATTTAAACTTAAACGCGTCTGGATAGCCTACTGCTTTTTTCTGTTTAGCTGCGCTGTGCGTCTGGCAGAAACAACGCGTTCTGTGTGAAAAGCAATTATTAAGAACATTTCTTTAGGTGAACACTATGGAGATAATAATGCTCAGCACCATATTGCTGCAGAGTAATGTGGTAAACAAACTATAATGTTATTTTAACTGCTCCATGTGCTCTGGGGACTTTTGCAATTGTTAAATATTATATTAGGAATATTAAATTAAATATATCCTACACATTTGTCTGACAGAGATGATATCACCTCTCTCACACAATACAGTAAACATCTTTAATATTTTAGTAGAAACACACACACATACACACACACAGGCTGCAGACGCTCTGCAGGAGATGAAGCTTAACTTCACTGACGCTTCACTAAAAATAATTCCCTCACAATGTGTTATGCAGCCGCAGTGTTTACTGGAGAAGAACAAAAGTAAACGGCGTATTTAATTAAAGGATTCATATATGCACAAAAGAGCTGCCACCTAAAACCACCTTCACTCTGCTCCTCTGAGATGTGAGCAAATTCTTGTACATTTGAAACTTCAGACTATTTTGACAAAACATTTGCCTGTTCTTTGATGAACATTCTCCTCATATGTAACTCTACCGAAAGTCCTGATGCTTCCTTCAAGCCTCCATCACCCCCACCTCCTCTCCTCCAACCGAGTTTATCGTCTACTCCCCTCAACGCTGGTGTTTAGCTCTGACAGGCTTTCAGCTAGTAAATCAGTGAATTGATCTTGAGGGGCAGCAGAGTGTCCTGGGTTCTGCTAAAGATCCATTTTCATTCCACAAGCAGCTCCCCACGCCAGCGTCTCCTCCAGCATCCATAAACATCAGCAACCAACTCCTACTGACCCCATCCGACTCTTTCAACACTCTCGCTCACACTCATTTACCTGCTCACCCGCTCTCTCGATGAGATGAGGTATCTGTTCTCGCAATGCATGATCAAAGAGCAAACAACACTTTTTTTTTTTTTAGCAACTTAGTAGTTTGCTTTCTTCATATATACATAGACTAACAGAGAGGCCCTGGAGCTTGTGGGGGCTGTAGTGACACAATCACACTGCATTTTACACTAGAACTATTCTAGAACTGTTACTCTAGAGCATTTCATCTGCATTTTTTGCTTTTGGTGGGGCAATTAGCTGATGTATTACAAGTATCGAACACATATAATGCCATTGTTAGAGCACATAAGTAAACACATGATTGAACAATAACCTTAAGTCTCATGAGGAGCATAAATAAAAACACCCACCATACTGTTTTTTTTCTTCTAAAAAAGAAATAAATAACTAGCTAAAAAATAAACTAAATGTGGGCTAATAAATGTATGTATGTAGTCTGAATGTAGCATCAATTTGCAATTTCAAAATGTTAAAAAAAAAAACGTGCAGAAAAATATTTTTATATGTAAACACCTGACACAAAGAGTTTCCTGATAACCCAGGAGTTCACTCTCTTAAAAATGCTCTTAATTTTTTTTATTTTGATGGAGCTCGTCCCAAAACAGTATGTGCATTATTTGTGGTAGAGTTTGTCACAGTTTGTAGTCCTAAATATTGGAAGAAAATGAACCTTTATGAGTCATTTTCTAATCCTTATCTAGCAGCTTACAGCAGGAGTTATATGACTGTGTATCATTTATATTGTAGAACAAAATTTAAAAATCTCTTCAAGTAATGCTAACCACAGACCTTACTGTACTCATAAATCAAAACCCGGGATTCTTAAAAACCCTTAAGAAATTCCAGAGGGAACTCATGGTGAATTAGCCTTCCAGTTTGACCTATAAATTGCGTCATAGCTCATTTAAGTAGAACTTCATTATTTGACTTAGCAGGGAACTGTCAAGACCAAAGTTGCTGAACTAAGTATAAAACTTTTGCAATATCTCAAAGCCCAAAATAGCAGCCAAACAAGGACATTTAATTTTAAGAACATGTAAATGTAAAAAAAGAAAAAGTAAATGTTAATGATGAACTACACAGCCAGCGCAGGCCAGAGGGGGGACAAACCGAGCGAGGATAGAGCATGCAGCTTGTTCAAACACATTTATGCAGGATTATTTTAAATAAACTGAACAAAAATGCAACTTCTCATTGTCTGGAAATTACGCATTAGCGTTTACATTTTAATGATCGCCTTTTGTGTTCAATGAGGAAAGAAAAAAAATCCTGTGCGTTTGGAGCGACATGTGAGGGTGGATAAAAAAATGCTAAGCAACTGCAACTTGGTTAGACCAAAATGTAGAGACATACGCTTTTTTTTTTTTACCTTGGAACTTAATCAAAAATAAAAATAATTATTTAGGAAGTCACATTTAAATCCACTTGGCTCAAAAAACACTTCTGGCTGCACCCTCAAGATTAAACCAGATTGAAGGGCTATAAACTGCGACAGAGCACCAGGATGAAATGTAAGGGCTGCGAGTGATAGTGAGCTGCGTTTGACTGGCAGAATCTGGGGTTATGAGTCTGACGATACACAGGGAACGCAGCTGGAGGGAACCAAGAGAGAGAGACACGATAGGATCATCGAAAACGAGCGCACGAGGGCATGGGAAAGAGAGATAAGGCGAGAAAGCAGCAAAAAAGAGAAGAGGAGCTCTCATCTCGCTGTGCTTCAGCTGCTGGCGTATAGGATGCACCCCAGTCAGTGTAATAGTCACTGAAGGGTTACTATTTCAGCAGCAGCCCCACACTGGCTGCGTTCACTGTGCCAATACAGCAAATTAAATAACACTTTACTAAGAGGGCTAGAGAGAGGGACACGGAGCTGGATTGCAAGAAGGAGGGGAAAAAAAGTGCTGATGGAACGGTGATGAAGTCTGGATTTAGGATAATTACTCTGCTGAGCTCTTCCTCCCTCACTGTCTTGCGCTCCCTTTTTTCTCCTCCACTCTCATTATTTGGAGAAGCTTGCCTGATGACAGTATCTGAGCTGCCTGTCGCTTATTAAAAAATGAAAATTGCTTCAGATGAGTTTATTAAACTAATCTCTCCCTCTCTCTCTCTCTCTCTTTCATCTGCCTCCCTCACACTCTCATTTCTTTCACAGATATAGCAGCATGTTGAGATGAAAGAAGACTCATCTTTTTTTTGGAAAGCGCTATGAAAGATGCACGATTCGTACGATACGAGTGGGGAACAAAATTGTCGCAAAACAATTACGAGTTCTTCTCGAGGAATTTGACAAAATCAATTTGCATCAATACTTCAAAATATTTCATCTGTTCTAAATCGAATTGCTGACATAATACAATAAACTTGAAGGCTTACGTTGTAATTAATGAAAGTTGCATTAAGAGCAGCCCCAGCCATTAGTTCAGAGAGAGGAGTTGACTTTAATGAGGGTCTTTTATCATACTGGAAGACAGAAAGTACATTGAAGAAGTACAAATAGTGCACTTTCATTATAGGTTAAGTGTTATAACAATTGACATACTCCTTTTCTTCCTTTGATTGCCTTAATTAAATTTTTTATTCAACTCTGTAAACAATATTCACATATGATATCTTTTATAATTTCAATGCTAATGCAGTGCAAATCATATAACTGCAGAAAATTGTTCCTGGAAGGAGTAATAATAAGAGTAAGCCATAAATAGATTTGAAAGACACAGAATTTGAGACATAAATGGTCATGCACACACATTATATTTGAAGCAATAATTTTTCTGTTTCACCTAAAAATGTCACACATTCATTCTTCTGTCGAATATATTTTGAAGAATGTTGGGGTTCAAATAGAGATGGACCCCACTCACTTCCACTGTACAGACAAAACAAATAATAATAAAATAAAAATAAGAAAAGCAGAAAAAAGAAATGCTATCTATGTGTAATTTTTGGGTGAACTACCACTTGTAAGCCCGCATTGTTATTAATATTAACACAAATCCAATAGCAATATGACTTCCAGCGGGAAGCTAATAGCAATCATTGAATTTCATGGAGCACTGGTTTGGTGATATGAATAAATCAGGTAGTGTCAGGCAGCTGTTGTTGATGTTGTTTGTAGGGGCTGCATCAGGTAAAAGCGAGACAGTGATGTGACGGAAAAGCAGATTGTGTGGCGTTTCCACAGCAACTATGCCATCCTCTCATAATTTGCTCTTTGGCGGTGAACCTGGAGGTGAAAAAACAGGTCTAATAGAGCACAGCAAACACACATACAGTAACAGACATTTGCATGAACACTAATGTTTGGAGTTCGGCTTCTGTGTGAGATCTCAATAACATCATGTCATAACTGTGATTATTAGAACAAGGATCGTTCATGCAACATTCATGTAACAGTTCATGTTACATTTAAAAAAAGGTGCAAATAATAGCACCAGTCAATATGGTTGGGGGTGTTTAATATTTAGTGATATGAAATACCAAATTAGTCAGTCTGCTGGTTTTTAATTAATTTATTTTAGCAAGGTAAACACTGCTTCCATTAAAAACACTAATGTAGTCAGTGTTGGTTTGTTATCAGTGCAAGCTACAGACGTACAGCTCATTGCACTAGTTTGTACCCTGTGTCCCAGAACACAGAAAAAACAAACACTAATACATTGACGTCACAGTTAGGACTACCAATTACTTGTCTTCTCACTGCGGGAGGGATAGATGGAAGACTTTGAGGAGAAAAATACTTAAATTATTTAGATTTTTGAAATGTACATACTGATAAAGTGCACAACTACTGAGTACAGTTTGTTTAGAAAGCATAAATGATCAAGGGTGGTTATGAATTTTAAACAATTATAAATGTCTGCTATCGCGTAAGGAAATCAAATCAGTGTTAAAACACAAAAGGTAATGAATAATGGTTGGAAGACTTCATTTAAAGTATAAGGGTGTGTGTGTGAGAGAGGGATTTGTGGTCTAGGTAAACCCTACGTTGGATAGTAAAAGGATAGTAAAACAAGATTTTTGACCTTGTGGGGACAATTTTTGGTCCCCATGAGGAAAACAGCTTTTAAATCATACTAAATTATGTGCCTTTTGTTTGTTTGTTTGAAAAGTAAAAATGCAGAAAGTTTTCTGTGAGGGTTAGTTTTAGGGGATAGAGTATACAGTCTGTACAGTGTAAAAGTCTATGGAAAGTCCCAATAAAACATGAAAACGCAACAAGCGTGTGTATGTGTTTGTGTGTGCGTGTGTGTGATGACAGACCTCGTGGGAAGTATGCAGGCAACATCGTTTCATAGAGCTCTTTGTCAGACTTCAGAAACACACAGAAGATGACCCGGTCCAGCTGACAGCAGATTAAAACAGAAAAAGAGACAAGAAATAAAAAATAAATGACCATAGAGAATCTCACATTCAAGCTCTGATTTTGCTGCTGCACAGCAGAAACCGACAATACTTCATAGACACAACTGAGAAGAATGTACCTGTAATAATATATCACAAACTTCATTCAAATGAAACAAATGTGCCCCTTCATCCTTGCTATACTCTCTAAAGCTATAGCAGAAATTTGCTTAAATTCTTGTGAATATAGTCAAATGAAATAAAAGCGATTACGAAAGTAAATAATGTTAAAAAAAACTGCACATCTTCTAGAACTCCTTTATAAGTTCATTTCTGTCAAAGTGTTTGTGTTTGTGAGATTATTTTCTGTGGCATGAATTGAACTTCAAATATTCCATTTAACTGAAGAAAAAGGTTCATTTATCCAATTCACTGATTTCTGACTTGTAGCCTTCTCAGTCTTGTGTGAAGAGAGGGTCTTCTGAAAAAGACCACTTGGGTGCAATCGCTTAGCATATTCCAATTTCTTGTCTTTCTAGGCGGAGAGGCGCAGTGCCAGTGACCTAACTGTCCTTGACAGAACACCAGCACCAGTCCCAAATGCTTCATGGCAAGCAACAACATAAAGAATACATCGAGATCCGTGCCAGCGTCCTAGAACCTCCATCTCCATGACAACAGTGGTGAGGGCAGGTGGGCTGTTCCTGCTTCTAATCATGTTCCTGTAACACATCACTGCATCCAGCTAGCACTCCTACTCTGCCACTGAAATCTCTCTCACTCTCATTTTTCTCTCTTTGGTCTCTATAGATTGTCTTTTTTCATTCCCTTTTGCCTCTCTGGCTCACTCATCCTGTGTCGCTTTGTCTGTCTGATTCAGATTCAAAATGAAGCTTTACATTGCCAAAGCATTTGTAATGTAATGCACTACAGAAATGAGGAGGTCAAATTTTCGGTTTGGTTTCTGGGTTAAAAGCATATGGCAAACTATTTACCATACACTATCAATAAGAAAATAATACTATAATATTTAGCTTGTTTATATTAACATACTATATTAACATTAACATAGAGAATGTTACACTAAATGATATCAAAGTCAATTTTATATGTTTTTTTTTTAAGTTTCAGATGCATAAAATGCATATTTTGTGCAGTTTGTTATTATTAATAGTTGCCTTCTTTCCAAACCAAATCAACAAATCCTCAGTAAACACTGCAGGTGCCATGAAGATTACATGGAGGTGCCAATTTAATTTAACTAAGTGTTTACTAAAAAATGTCTCGCATATCTTCATCATCATTTCAAGTTCATTTTGATCCAGACATGAGTGGTTTTGTCCAAGTGGGTGAGTTGTTCACTCTGTAATTAATTAGTCAGTCCATTTCCACTAGCCTGACTCATTCAGGTCGATTTACAGACTGGCTGCGATCATGATAGGTGGGCGTTATCTAATTGACAGGGTAATCAGCCAATCACATCAACGTGAAGGTACCGCCTTCTTTTATGTGACCTTTTGCTGTTAGTTTTTCATTACCTCTCACATTCACTCTTAAAAAAACATGGCCTTAGATGTACTTAGACATATTTCGTAAGATTTTTTTAAGTGCTGTTGATTATTTTCTCATCCAAATATCTCATCTCAAAGAAAATGCAATACACAATATAACACATTTTTAAAATAATAAAAGTAGAATAAATAGAATAAACTGAATATATAATAAAATATATAATCATAAAAAGTAAAAAAAAAAAAATACAAAACTAGTACTTTCGCTCTTCCATTCTGTACAATTTTTCTGGATGCATATGGAAAGTGGTAGGTTTAGCAAGCAGCAAAGTGCTGGTTAATTAGTGTGCCGTAATTAGGGTGTCTGTCATTTTGTATGTCTGTAGCGTAAAAGAAGGCAAGAGCAACTAAGCACGCAGCGCAGAGTGAGATGAAAGCTCAGGACAGGAAAGACAGATCAGTGAGAGATGACAGAAGGGAAAAAAAGACACATATGTGACCAGGGAAGAGAGAGAGAGAGAGAGAGAGAGAGAGAGACTGCAGTATGGGATGTGCAGAAGTTTTGTCAAAGACATCCTCATGGCTCATTTCCTGTTAAATTTACTCTGGACTCACATTAAGTCACAAGGGCCAGAGATTGTGTCAATATGTTTGTGGATTTGTTGTATTTGTGCTGTTCTGCAAAGCCTATTCAAGCTCCGTTAGGAACCAATTAAAACTGTGAGGTTATATTTGTGTGTGTGTGCATGCTGACTCAGAAAAGTAACTCCCTACGCAGCCACCATCTGTTTGCCACGGTGTGTTCCTCGTCGAACAATAACAACAATGGCAAGAAAAGAACACCAATAGGGAAATGACACACACACCTTCTCGTGGTTTTGCTCCAGGTATTCTCTCACTGTTCTCAGGGCAACTTCGACTGCTTGATCAGGTGGATATCCTGCACCACACACATCGTCCAACCCATGAACACAATACACATCAGATTTATACTAGGACTTTCAATCGATTAACGTTTAAATTACGTTTATTAAAAAGGGCTTAAATTACAATGCGCTGATTGACTAAACAAAACAATCACAATTATTGCACCCAAATAAAGATATTTCAAAGACATTATTGTGGCAGATGAAAGCACTGAATAAACATTTACAAAAGGTTAAAATATTGTCTTTTTATATATATTTTAAATGTTCTTTAAATCTATGCACATGCAGACTTTGGTCATCGCAGCATTCTCATGCTATATAAATTTTGTTAGTGTTTTTTTTTAAAATAATTAATCTAAAAATAAACCATTGATGCATTAAACTGACAGCCCCCAAAACACAAAGTAAATGAAAACAACCTTGATATTATTATAGATATACACATTACTTTGATTGTAATAATGTAATTTGTATGATTAACCAAGAGGCGTCAGACATCAACATGTTCACACCTTGTCAGCACTCACAATTCTGCCGATGCACGACACCATATTTTCTGTTTAAAGACTTGAAAATTAATCACTGATGGTGGTTGTTTTCGAACTGAAGCTGTTTGCCGGGTTCATTTTTGAGTTTAATCTTGACACGTATCGCTAAGAAGGAGGATTATAATCACAGTGACATGCTCTCGCACCTAATCTGACCGTCTAATCCCACCCTTAATCTGAAAATCCCTCATACTACTGCAAGTGATATCTACTCCCAGAATTCCTAAAATGAGGTTCCTACTACATAAACAACCACAAATAAGAACTCGTGCATGAGCACGGAGGTCACGGCATAGCCGAGGTTCATAACCGTACCATTGATTAGGTTAGATAGAATGTCATAAACACAGGGAATGAAGTACCATTGATGTAAACTCATAAATGCGGTTAATGAATGATCATAGGTTTTAATAATAAATGAGCCCATTGAAAACTCTAAATCAACCAACCTGTTATCAATTACACACAGTCATGTATAGACTATGAGTACAAAGGACATATAAATATAAATAATTGATGTAAGACAAAGCAATTAAAGATGAAAAGTAAACATCGATTGAGAAAAAAAAAAACGCTGTAATTTGCACCCACCGTACACTCCAGTAGAGATGCAGGGAATAGCCTAGACATCAACATAAAAGACATAAAAAGAAATACAGATTTCAGTGTTATGTAATTAAAAGTGTGAAAAATAGTTTTATTGTCTATGTATGAACCACTAAAAGCTTCTTTAAATAAATGTTTTGTATTATAATAAAATAAATTAAGGTTTACAAAGCACTTATTGTTGCACCTATTCAAAACAACAGCTTTTACAGGGGAAGGTGATTGAAAGTTGATTAATTACAACCCATTAAAGATACAATCCATTATTAATGACAACGAGTCACTTGTGCCCCAGAATTAAGGACCTTTAAAACAAAAGCTTTACTTTAAAACAAATGGGCCGAGTCACAGACATTTGTTGGTGTTTTAAAAGCATTTGCTGCGAAGGTACCACTTTGTGTCTTGCAAACCCCAGCACGTATGGATAGCACTTTGAAATCAAATAAGGGAATGAAATTTCTGTCATTTACTCTCCTCCATGTTCTTCCAAACCTTTCTTCTGTGGAACACAAAAGGAGCTACATTGCTGAAAGGCCTGGCTGCCACTTTTCTATACGATGAAAGTGAATGGGGATGGAGGATGTTGAGCATAAAAATAACCAAATAAGACTGTTGCATTTGCTTCATTCTGTTCAAAAGCTATCAAAGAACTTGTAATGATACTTTTAAGTTCACATTTGAGCTCAATTTTCACCTGCCTCCATGCCGTTATAATATATGGAAAAGCAGCCAGAACATTTACCACAACAACAACTTTTGTGTTTCATGGAAAAATGATACTGGGTTGAAATGACCAGTTTTGTTTTTGTTAATTAAACTTTGGTCATTGAAATGAAGATGAAATAAAATACAAGTATTAGAAAAATTAAACGAAAATCAGAAATGTTGGCTTGGCAAACCAACTGAAATAAGTTGAAGTACTAAAATGAATAAAACTAGAACTGTAATAAAATGTAATCAAATATACATAGCAATACAAAGATTAATCAAAATGACAAAAGCACATAACAAAATGATTAAAACTTAAAATACTAATAAACACAATAAAAGTATATAAATAAAACAAAAATATCACAGGAAATGACATGAGGATGTGTAAATTATGAGCTATCTGTTTTGTTTTGTTTTTTAAGGTGAACTATTCCTAATAACACAACACTTGGCTAAAGTTATTTTTTCACAGTGAACACCAGTTACATAAAGATAAATAGGAAGTCCCCATAAGACGTTATGATGCTGCAGCCCTCACTTGCTCCTTCCTAAGAACCTTAACAATAGCTGTGCCTGTGTGTATTTTTATCCTTGCTGGTGCACTGTGTTAAAATCTTTTATACATACAGTAATCTGTCTTCAATAAATCAATCTCTGAAAGAAATAAAGCTGAAACGGCTCTCAACTGTTTTAGTAGATTCATATAAAAATTGTTAGGGCACTAGTGGAGTGCGAGTTATGTGCTGTGTTATGACTGGATTGCTGGCTTTTTGATTCTCATACCGTGACGCAGCTGTGAGATGTGAGTGATAGGGGTGAGAGTTTAACATGTTAACTGTATGTACCTGAGTTTATGTGCAACCAGTGTGTAAGTTTCGAGATTGCGGTGGGCCGTTAAAATTGCATACAAGTAGCTACTGTATATCGCAGCCAAGACATCAAGTCTGAATCTATTATGAGTGTGTGTGTGTTGAGACCCTCACCACGGTCCGCAGGTGGTTCTTAGTTGCTGTGTGCAGACAGGTATAATAACAGCTTCTCAGTGCTTGTTCCTCTCTCTCCCCCACTGAATCATGGACTATTGGCCCCACGGTGTGAATAACATCTGTGAAAGAGACAAAGCCAAAGAAAGACAGAAATCATACAAAAATATCAGAAAAATATGTGAATGTGTTTCATAACTTCAACTTCCTGTCTGCATCCCTCCCTTTTATCTATCCATGTTTCTAAAACATACATTTGTTCATGATATCGTTCAAAGGTTTGGGTCTGTACGATTTAAAAAAAAATAAATTAATACTTTCATTTAGCAATTATTCATTAAATTGATCAAAAGTGACAGTAAATGCATTTATAATGCCATCACAGGAAAAAAGTTAAAGGGAAAACGTTATTTTAAATTGTAATAATATTTCACATGTTACTGTTTTACTGTATTTTTGATAAAATAAAGCCCTAGGAGAGACTTCTTAAAAAAAATTAAAATAAAATCCAATCCCAAACTTTTGAACAGTAGTTAAAATATATTTAATTATAACTTACAGTAACTGAAATGGACAAGAGCAAATGTACTTTGTTTAGTCTGCATTTTGTGCAGTTAGATTGTTATATTGAGACTGATTCATCTAAATAAATGGTCAGATTTCCATTTTTGTCATTTAAATTAATTGTAATTCTTTTTTTAAATCATTAGTTAAAAAAAGATGAAAACCCTTATTAAGACATTTAAAAAAAAATTTTTTAATATAAATTATAAACTTTATATAAATTATATAAACTAAATAAATTAATTTATTTAGTTTATTTAAATTAAAAGATTGTAATCTGACCATATTCTGGAATTATAGTAAACAAAAATGGATTCATTTAATTTGGACTTATTTTATTTAAATTTAGAATTTAGGTCTTCTAAAAGCTAAAAAAAGAAAAAAAGTTTTTTTCAAACATGTCAAAGCACGATAAACGACCCAGTTTACCCTCAATAGCAAAAATGTTCCATTTAGTAGTGGTGTTGGTATATCAATTTCAGTGATCTTGGCTTTGACAGAACTTGGCCTTTGTATTACAGTGTGACCTACTTACAGAAATAACAGATTGCTATTGGAAGGGTCTTTTGGCTTGTTTCTTCTGATGAGGTATGGTAATATATAATGATATATTACTCCACAATATCGAAATATCTCTTCGCAGTAACTGCTGTACTGATAGATGCTGTCAACAACTGAGGTGATGTGCATTGGGAGTGTTTAATCTTTTACCACGGTAACCACAGTTTCTGGCACAATACCATAGTGACTGCAATTATTAAAAATAAATATAAGAGTTCATATGGAATCAGCTTCAAACTGTGTAATTGATTTCACAATCTTTTTACTGGCATGTTACCACTGTTTACTGTAATAACAGTAGCAATGGCAGACACTAATAAATGTTGGCAGATTCTATGGTTTCCATGGTACATGTTAATAAGAGTAACAAGAAACAGCTCAAAGCATCAAATTAGAGATTTTATTCTAGTTCAAAAAGGAAGTTATCGATTTGATGCATTCCAAAGTAGAAATTTTTACTTTTAATCTAAAATGTAAGCGTTTAATTGAAATGCCGTTTTCTAAGTCAAAGAATATGACTGTTATTTAAATAATTATAAAATTATGTCTAGACTGCAATTGTTTTACACATAAATGCTACCAAATTAATAAAATAATAATACAGTACATACATTACAAGCTTTAGTAGGCTTTCTGTATAGGAGAAAGCTGAAGAACCCCTAATGTGTCACACAAACTTGTTTATTCATTGTGTCTAGACTTTTGATTAGCTCTCCTCTTATTCACTTACACTAACTGCACTTTCAGTTTGTTGTTCCCATCTCTGCCATCTGTCTGTTTCTCAATTACTAAAGCCCCACTTGTCTCGATCCTGCACCCTCTCATCTCAATTTCCTGTTTCCTCCTCCCATTGACACTCAGCTCAACCGCAGACATCATGTCCATTTCCCTTGTCCTCCTTTTCTGTCCAAAACATTCATCCATCTGTCCTCTCAATGTCTCGTGTCCTTGTGTGTCACATCTGTGGCATCTCCTCAATCTCTCCCCTTTGCCCCGCTTGTCCTTTGGACATCCAGCAGCCCACCATCAGTTACACTCCCACTCCTCTTTCGCTCATCCATCCACCCCCCGCATCCCTCCCCGACACCTCTCTGCGCTGCGTGCTGTCCGGCTGCGTTTATTTACCGCTGCACTCTGCAGTGTTTACAGCATCGATCCACCTCTGTTTGTTTAGTCCAGCAGCACCATCATACATCAAGTTGGGCAGAGACATAACTCACACAGAAACACACACATACATAAACACACCCCGACTTGCAGACACTCGCATATGAAGTGCAAAAGGAAACAATGGATAGGAAAGGAAAAAACAACAGAGAACAGTGGGCATATGTTTGACTGGAAGTACAGTATCACAAAGTGTTGTCATGTTTGTGGCACAGCATGATCTGCTGAAGCGGGTGTAGAAGGAAGAGAGACAGGATGACAATCACTGCAGACACAGGTGCAGCTGGAGGTGAAAGCAAACTACGAAAAACTGCCGGGAGGTTTAGATATCGCACTGCTCAACTCTTCCTCTGTCGCTCCTGTTTGCTCTCTAAAACAAACACACACAAGCACTCTTACAACAGAGCGTGTGTGGGGAAGAAAGTTAAGAGTTCAGAGTTACAGTGTAGCACAATGTAGATTCAGAACCTTGTAGTTAAACAGTATTTACTGAAATGTATAATTTAAGCTGTAAATTGGATGAGTTACCTTTCATACTTGTTGTAAAGTATACCCAAATAATATCACCTACAACAAGTACTGTGTCTGTGTACTTATGCATGTCAGGGTTTCAACACAAAATTAAAAATAAAGAAATTACATATTTATACATGTATATTTATATATTTTTTAATTTAACATTTGTGTTGAAACCTGACATACAGATAAAGAGACACTTGTATTTTGTATATAAATTATGAAACTATATATAATTTATTTAGCAACAAGTGATTTGGTGTATTTAAATTGGTTAATAATAATAATACATAGCTGTATCTAAAATTAATAAGGGCCAATAAAATATTAAAACAAACCAAATTTGTTTATTTATTAATTTATTAAAAAAATACATATTTAAATAAATAAATAAACATATAAGCTACATTTTTATAGATTACTGTATTAGTATTTTATTAGCCCCTTATTCATTTTAGATACATATATTTATTTATTTATATATTTACATTTCAAATTTATTTCAAGATTATTTATGTATCGTATTTCAATACTTTTTGTGGTTTTGTACTTTAATATATGCTGGGTCACAGCATCAGTGTGCATGTGGTCGTACAGACTGTCTTCTAAAGCCTGATCCTGAGAAAACACACTGTTCTTTCTGCCCACGCAGCTCCCATACTACACACCAAAACCTGACAACACCCATAACGTATCGATGAATCTACTCCAAACTTGCTATTATCAAGCTCTAAATCACTCCTCTGTTTGTTCCCCCCTCCTTCCCTCCTTCCTCCTGCCTGCTCGCCTTTCTCTTTCCTCCTCTCCCTCCCTCTCAGTGAAAGGTTGTCTGTCTTTCCGCTACCAAGTCTCACTGTTCACTCATCCAGACCAAACCCAAGCCTCCCGTCTCGTGCACAAAGGGAGGCCCTGGACTCTTCCACCAAACCCCCTGGAGAAGAAAAAGTCACCGTGCACAACTATATCCCCATTCTGCAGCAGGGGAGCAGGTGCGTCGATTTAAAAAAGGCAGCCAGCTAAGATGGACTGCTTATCATCTGAAAGGTCTGAAGGTGTTTGACTCACTTTTTGTGTTTCTCTCCTTTTTCTCAAATTCAAATCTGCTTGACAGTTGAGTTACAATGTACCAGCAGTCCCCAGCCGATCAAGCATGACGGCCCGCACAATAGTTCGCTCTCCTTTCACATTTGCTTTCATCCGATCCGTTATGACAAGAAAATGCTGTGATTTTGAGAAAGCTGCGGTCCAAAATTCATTCGAAATAACAGAAATAACAGTATTTCATTGAATTGTTTAATAAATATAATTAAGTAATTGAACCTTGTTATTCATCCAGTCTATGAGCAAATGATGGATAGGTGGAGAGAGAGAGAGAGAGAGAGAGAGAGAGAGAGAGAGAGAAAGGGATTAGTTAAATAACAGGAGAGAAGGGTGGGTGTTCGATTGGCCTGTGTGGATTTTAATTAGGGTTAATTGGCCACAGAGGGAAATGAAGGCTCAGGAAGAATATGTGTATGTGTGTGTATTGATAAATATGCTTCTCTCTTCTCTTTCTCCCCCCTAGCAATGGTTGTTTTGTATGGTTGCGTCCCTAGTCAAGGCTGTATTGGTACACAGGTGGACTTAGGGACTAACAGGAGCTGCACATTCTGCCTTTCATACACCAATGAGATCCACTGGGTTTCTAGTTCACCCCCTCAACCTGGGCAGTGCATGTATTATTACTATACATCTGTTTTCCTATAAGACACAAACTATCACTCACAACATGTGCAAACTGCAGCTCAGGCAGTCAAAACATGACAATACTCTATACAAACACTCAAATCTCAGATTTTATTTAGGGGCTTTTGACTGTAGTTAGAAATGCTTTCCAATACTATCACGCATACTTTGGGTTCAAACTGAAGTATATAATTTCTGTGCCACCGAACGGAACAGCAAAAACAAACCTTGTTTTCAAAAAAAGTTTCCAAATACGCCCACATCAATCGTTGATTGAATAATATGATAGCCCCGCCCCCAACTCACACCACTGGTTGAGTGAGTGTTGTTGTGTAGAACAGCAATAGGGGAGTTTTCATAGCACCACAGAAACATAATATTTACAGTATTGAACAGCATAAGATATACTTATAATTGTCTCTGAATATTAAGCTGGGATAGAAGAAAGTATTTAAATGCTTAAAAGTTACATAATTCAGCTTTAAGGATTTTTTAAAAATTAACTTAAAAATTAAATTTTTTTTTGAATGAAACCTGAAGTTTCCCTTCATTGAAAGTCCAGGTAACAAAAAATTAGATCCAAGATCAA